ATCTTTTTTTCCTTCTGTAACCGAAGTTATCAGTTCTTTCTGAATAGGATTAAGATCGATAACATCATGTAATTAACAAGAGATGCAAAAAAGTGAAAGTGCAATTTCTATAAGAATTCTGTGAGAGGGAATGATAACTTCTTACCTTGGACTCTAAAGGGATATAAAGCCAAGTAAAATAGAGCAATTACTTGGAAGGATTAAAGTAGCCTTTTCTTTCAGAAAGCAGAATTGCGCGCACACGGAACACTGAGCGAGGCCCTGGCACCACACCCTGTCTTAGGATGATTCTGCCTTTGGTGACTGATTCCCTTTATGCCTGCGGAGTGAGGGACATTATTAAACGAACGATCACATCAAGAGAGCTCGGGGCGACGGTGTCCCCGACTCCCGCGGGGCCTGTGTCACTGTGCCGCAGACCCTGCTGGCTGTGGGAGCCACGTTGCACACCGCCAGCGCCCCAGCAGTCTGTAGGCCCGTGTCTGGGGCGCCCTGTCGGCAGCGCTTAGGCCGTCCCCGTGAGCTCTGCATGGAGGGTCTGGCCCGTCTGCTTCTAGGCTCCGTGTTGGTGACACGATGTCGTACTTGACCTCAAGGGTCAGGGTGTCAAGGAGGCCGTGTGGACAGGAAACCAGCAGTGACATTAAAAAAAAAACAAAAAAACAGGGGTCTTAGTTTCTGTGCAAAAGTGAGCAAGTTCTGGGCTCATGTGGCGGTGCTGTGATGCCAGGGGCCTTGCTTTTTCCCCCGACCCAGCCACCACCTGAGTGGACTTTGGACTTGTCTCTGTCTCAGGCTGAAGGCAGAGGCGGCCGGGGCGACAGGTGGGACGGGCGAGCCTCCCAGGCACGGCCCGGGGTGCTGGAGCTGGAAGGGGCGGTGCTGGCTTGTGGTCTCCCCACGTGACTCGCACTCACGGCGGAGTCTAAGTGATGGCGACGAAAACGTGGCTGCTGTGTCCTGAGGGACAGGTGCCTCAGGAGAGCTGCTCCTGCTGAGTGCCTGTCCACGCAGCCCTTAGTAACAGTCGTGGGAGGCTTTTGGGATCTGAAGGGTTTTCAAGTTTATATTAAGCTTTCAGACTCAAGGTTGTCCTTCGTGGGGGCAGCCAGCTTCCCCAACGGGCGCTGGTGTCCCGCCTGCGCCGACGTCTGTCAGTGTGTCCTTCTGAAGACCCTTGGGTCAGCTGCCTCCCGTCTCCTGCAGCAGAGGTCCTCTCGGAGGCTGGGGCGTCGGCTGCTATGCTGCTTTGGGGTTGGGCTCCACACCCTCAGTGCGCTAAAGCCTCCTTGCTGAGATCGCCCCTCACCCGCACAGCTCAGCGCCTGCTGACCACTACCCCCACTTGGCTGCCCAGGCTAGCGCACCTGGCGCTGCCGCTTCCAAGGCTGGAAGGTCGCTTTTCAGAAACCTTCTTCCTGTTCTCGCTCTGCTGAGCCAGCCTCAAGCCAGAGCTCCCTGCTCACTCGGCTTTTCTCTCTAAACTGCAGCCGGCGCCCTCCTTGGTCAGCCTCGCAGGGCGCTCAGATAAGAACCACCCGTCTTTCACCTGTTCCACCCGGGCCTGGACTGTCCACAGCTGGCTTCCTTGACTGTGGGCGCACACGGCCTCCCATCGCATGTGCACGCGCGGCTGCGAGCCCCTGGGGCGGGCCGGGGCGGGGGCTGGGGCCGCCTCTCCTGCTGTGCAGATGAAAGCACCGAGGCCCTGTGCCCCCGAGCTCCAGGCACCACCTGCGCCCCAGCCTCTTCTCGGGCACCGCGTAGGAGTGTCTCCGGCATAAAGGGTCACCTGGGGTTAGAATAAAGTCCCGGTTAAATGTTACCAATGAATGTTTAAAGTTGCTCTGTTCCACCGAGTGGGGAGCTGTAATTCCTTGCGACGCGCCAGACGGCGCCGCGGGCCGTGGTAGTGGCTGCTGACATTTGAGGGCCTCTGTGGATGTGGTCAGGCAAGCACGTGGGTGATTAGTCAAAGGAACGGCGGTTTGGGGGAAAGCTAGGAATCACAATATTAAAACTCCAAAGGGGACGAGATTTATGATCCCAATATATTTTCAGTTTAATATAAAAAAAGCTTTAGAAGCTATGAACATTTAAAATAACCTCCCAGGGGCCTCCCCGGCGGCGCAGCGGTTGAGCGCTGGGTTGCGAAGCTGCCCGCGGTCTCTGCGGTGCCGGTTCGATCCCCGGCTGCTCCCCGGCCACCGGAGGAGGGTCCCGCATGGCGCGCAGACCTCTCCTGCCGCCCGCGGCTCCCCTCAGCAGTGTCCTTCGGTCCTTCTGCCTGCTCTGCTCCCCGCTCTGGCTCTGGTGAATTCTCTCGCCCTCCCGTGCTTCTGACTGTACCCAGTGCATGTATAAACAAACAAACAAACAAACAAATAAATAAATAAAGCATGCCTCTAAAAAAAAAATAAATAAAAAATAACCTCCCAGGAAATCTGGAAGTAATTAGAGGCCAAAGAAGTGATGTGCCCTGTTCTCAGGCAGCTTGAGATTTTGATTGAGAAATAACCACGTCAGTCTCTGAGTTCGTTCTCAGAGTTCAGTGTCTGCTTCCTTTGAGAAGAGGGGCCGAGGGGTCAAGGGGAGACGCCCCTGCCTGGTTTTACCCGCTGCAGAGTCAGAAGCCAGGGCTGAGCGGGCCTGCCTGCGAGGGGTGGGAGCGCGGCTGCTGCTGCTGCTGCTGCGTTTCGCCTGCTCTGGAATGAGGAGGTGTGCCCTTCAGCCAGCCCGGCGTGGCTCTCGCGGGAGGGACAGGAGGGACAGGAGGGACTGGGCTCTGTGACCACAGAGCCCAGAGGAGGCCGGGGTTCCGCGAACCTCTAGCGGCTGGAGAGCAGAGTCCTTGCCCACTCCCAGCCCCGCAGAGCCTGGAGGAGGGCGGGGCGGTGGAAGGAAGGCACGCGAGAGTGCCCGAGCGTCTTGCAGGCCCGCCGGGCGCTGGCGGAGGCTGTGAAGGAGGGCGGGGGCCGTCCAGAGGCCACGGTTCTGAGCAGATGGGAGACTCGCCTTTTCACTTCTAAACCAAGGGAAGACTTGGTTTTTCAGGTCCCCAGATTTAGTGAGAAAAACACCATCTCCCACTCTCACTGCCGTGGGGCAGAACAGGCCTGGCCCTGACGCGTCCTGCACCCCTGACCCAGCTGAGCCGCCCACCAGGCTGTGAGGGCAGTGGCAGCGGCAGTGGCAGGGGCTGGGCTGTGGCCCTGGGTGCTCCACTGCATACCCCCAGCAGTGGCTCTGGGGCCAGCAGGACTCAGCTTGGGGGTCTTTGAGCTTGCGGCCGGTGGCCTGCACGGCCCAGGGTCCCTGGGTCGTTGGGTGTACATCCACGCAGCGGGCAGAGAAGAGTGTCATTGCCCCGTCGCACTGCCTGGGTCGGGGGCCCTCACACCTCCCCCCGCATCACGGGCCAGGCAGGTTTTACTGTATTTTCTGCATCAGTCAGAAAATATGGTTTGAAAAATTTTCTTTGAAATAATGGCAGGATCTTTTTTTTTTTTTTTTAAAGATTTATTTATTTATACAAGAGCTGGGGTGCAGGCCAGAGGTGCGGGGGTGAGAGGATTCACCAGAGACAGAGTAGGGAGCAGAACAGGCAGACTGACGAAATACACTGCTGAGGGGAGCAGCGAGCGCTGCAGGAGAGGTCTGCGCGCCATGTGGGACCCTCGCCGGCCGGCTGGGAATCAAACCCGTGCTGCAGAGGCTGCGGACAGCTTCACAGTGCGGGGCTCAACCGCCTGCGCCACCGGGGAGGCCCATGGCAGGACCTTGATTGCTAATTTATTATCCAAGAAGTTTTAAAGATATTTTAAAATACCATTTGAAATGTATGTGTGTGAGAGGGAAAAAGTTGACACATAAGGCCCAAAGACAGAATGCTAAATGGCCTCTTCTATAAATAAGTGCTCTGTAAGTGAATGTTCTTTTCCAGTTGCCTGGCACAACACTCAGGTGGAGCACTTTCTCCTCGGGTAGTTTTTAAACCTGAGGAAATAATTTGTCAGTGGAACACAGTCGTGGTTGAGTCCATGGAGACTCCCACCCAGCAGCGCAGTGCTTGGCAGTGCTTGGCAGCGTGATGGTGATCGCAGGGGTCACCCAGACCAGCGCCTGGGGGCGGGGAGAGCCTTAGACGGGAGGAGGAGGGGAGTGGTTTGCGGAAGCGCTTCAGGGACGCGGGGCTGCATGGAAGAGGGGCAGCTGGTGCCGCCGGCTGGGCTTGGCCGTAAGATGACAGAAGCAGCACTAGAACTTCCGAGCAAGGAGCGTGGTTTTTAAAAGTTGAGAAATGCTGGCTGAGTTTCAAAGAATGAGGTGGTGTTCAGTGACAACTACGTTGACAGGTGAAATGAGCGCGTGACTTTCTGGAGAAGTAATTCTGTAAATGCTGCTTCCTAGGCAGGTACTCGAAAGGCCTGCTGAGACAGGGAGGGCTGGGTTGTCTGTGGCGCGGGGAGCAGCACACGCTGCCCGAAAAGCGTTCCGTCAAGAACGGCACCCGTTAGCATCCGCGAGTGCAATGCTCATGTGGTCATTTGGGGTCGTCAACGCTTCCCATTTCCCTCTCACAGGAGTCCTGTCTCGCTTTGAATAAAACAGCGTCACGGCTGTGGCTTAGGTTGTGTTCTGGAGGCCGCGGAGCACAGCCTTTGAGGAGATAAATGTCAGGCACGTTGGCAGTAGACGTTTAGTCTTTAGGATTAATGGGCAGGAAGGTCAATAATGGCGCGGATTCCAATGAGCTTAGAAAGGGTTCTCGTGGCCGCTGCAGTGGTGCGGAAACACGAACTCATTTCCAGATGCTGCACTTTGATGTTTGGCTGCTCCGTTGTGGCAGAGCCACCTGTTTTGTCACATGGACTTCCCTGGAGGGGAGGCTGCAGGAGACAAGTCTCTCAACATTTTCAGAGGGTGTGGACCTGCGTGGGCGTCTCTGAGGCGTGCAGGCTGCTGGCCAACCTCTCATGCTGGTTCCTTTGTTTCTTTAGGGCCCTCCAGAATTCCCACAGCACACACCTGGACCCGTCCCCAACAATTTTAGCCAGCCCCCGAGACTTCCTCTGCAGGACCAGTGGAGAGCCCCGCCTCCGCCCCAGGAGCGAGACCCTTTCTTCCTAGGCGGTAGGTGGCGCCGCGGCGCACGGGCTTCGGGAGGAGCCCTGAACCTGTGCCTCCCGGGAGATCTTGTCGCATCAGAGCTTTTGCCTGTCAGATGCTGAAGCCAGATACTGTCAGCATCCGAGGATCACATCTCCGGGGGAGGCAGTCACCTGTAGGGAGTAACTGATCACACCGTCTAGAAATGAGACACAATGTAGGGGCCCTTTCGACATCCGTGCCCGCCGTAGCTGTGGGGAGCCCAGAGTGAGCGCGCCCGGAAGCCTGCTTTTCCTGTGGGGTGCATGTTCTGTGGAACAGGGCGTCCCATTGCTCTGCCTTCAGTTTCAGGTGAACCCCGGTTCCCGAGTCATCTCTTCCTGGAACAGCGAAGCCCCCCACCGCCGCCACCTCCTCCCACGCTGCTCAGCAGCACTCATCCTGTGCCCACTCCGAGCCCACTGCCATTCACCCAGCCCGGGCCCGCCTTTAACCAGCAAGGGCAGCAGCCGGTGTTCCCCAGAGAGAGGCCCGTGAGACCAGCCCTCCAGCCGCCAGGCCCCGTGGGGATTCTCCACTTCAGCCAGCCCGGGTCGGCAGCCACGCGGCCTTTCATCCCGCCGAGACAGCCCTTCCTGCCCCCCGGCCAGCCGTTCCTGCCCACGCACGCGCAGCCCGCTCTGCAGGTAGGAGCCCCACCCCTGGGGTTGGTGTGCCTGGGCGCCGAGTCTCTGTGTCCTCGGTGATGTGGGGTTTTTATTCTGGCTGACCGCTGCTGTGGCGGGTCGCTCTGTGCACAGTGTTGTTTATCTCCCTGTCGTAGCACACGTGGAAAGGGCGTCATTTGGGAAATGAAGAAAGTTAGTATTACGATTTTTTAAGGATATGCTATGGCCGAAATCGGAGCACCTTTCCATAATACATCGGCTCGTGTCAGGGCTGTCCGTGTCTTGAAAGGTTCCCCCCAGGAAGACTTAGTGGGGCCTGAGCCTGCAGCTCAGTGGGGCGCTGCCTGAGGGGACACGCAGGCGTGCTGCCTTCCTCGGGAAGCTTCAGGTCCCACTGCCCGAAGGTTCTGTTTCCGGGCAGCTCGCGTGTGCCGCCACCTGCCCGTGTCTCCCGCGCTGGAAGTGGATGGTCAGAGTGTGCTGGCCTCCACCCCACCCGCCTCCAGCCAGCAACCTCAGCGACAACCTCTTGGAAATTGGCAGAGAGTCGGCGTGCAAGGAGGTGGGGTTCCTGAGTAGCCCCTCTTGGCAGGACTGGCTGGGGCGTGCTGTGCGTCACTGCTGATGAGGACGCAGAGCGGGGGAGCAGCACCTGCAGACCTGCTGTGTGTAGGACGCGAGGCCTGCAGCCCCAAATGACAACAGGAGGCTGAGAGCCCAGCAGGCGCCGAGGCGGGGTGAAAACAGTTGCTGTGTCTGCACCGCGGAGACGCTCTCAGTGACGCAGGGAGGGGTCAGCGATGCCACCCCGGGAACAGCCACCCACCACCTGGGCGTGTGCGGGGCCTCTTCCTGACGTCCCCCCCACCCCGTCACTGGAGGATGCTGCGCCCGGCTGCGCTCTCCCTGCCTCCCTGGCCTGTGTGTGGGCGTCTGTGCCTGGTGCTCTGGTGCGGGGACTGCGCCACCCCTGCCCCAGCGCCTCCTGCCGCCCTGCCTCAGGGTAAAGGCTCCGGCTCTTGTGCGTGAAAGAACTTGGGGCAAGTGTAATAAGACTGATGGTGTAGCCTGTGGCTTTTTCCTGCATTTAATGTCCCCTTTCCAGCAAGTCCAACCCTTCTCCTGTTTGAGATTTACGTCCCTTCCCTGCTCTCCTCCCGCGCTAACGTTGGCTGCGCGTTGTAAGTCTTGCGCTTCGTCAGATTATCTGAAATGTGAATGACCAGCACATGTTTTTGTCATTCTGACTTGATTCACTGCATGTAATTCCCTGCAACTCCCTGCACTTTGTTGAAAGTCGCTGCATTTCATCTCCCCTGTGGATGACCGGTGTTCCGAACGGTGACCCGGCCACGTCCTCCTGGTTCACTCAGCCGCTGGTGGACACTGGGGCTAACCCTGTGGCTGCTGTTGCGCATGGTGCCGGCTGCGGCTGGTGCGGGCGCTTTCTGCCTTCCACGGGCGGGCCCTCTCCCCTCCTCTCCAGCTCCGGGCCGGGGCCTCTCAGTGTGTGCCCCCCGCCCCCCCGGCCACAGGACGGTCTCACGGTGGATGTGACCTGTGCCCCCAGGAGAAGCTGGACAGGCAGTGCTGCAAGCACCTGCTGGCCTGGGCTCCTCCCCGGTGGGCGCAGCTCGGAGCTGTCACCCACTGACTCATCGGGTGATCTGTTTGCTGCTGTTGAACTATGTGAGGTTCTGCACCCTGGCATTGACCCCACGTCTCCTGAGATCATGCCGGTCGTCCACTTCTGCTTTTATTTTCTTTGCCGTGGGTCTCCAGTCCCCAAGCATATCTTTGTCACCGATGTAATGGAACGTATCACCGACGTTTTCTTCTGTGTATTTTATTATTACACTTTTTTTTTTCAAATTTTTAATCCATTTGGAATTTTATTTTTGTGTATAGAATCTTAGAGAATGGTCTAACTTCATTCTTCCGTTGTGGTTTTCCCTCATCATTTGTTAAAGAGACCGTCCTTTTCCCACGTACAGTCCTAGATGAGATGCTGATGTTTTTGGTCTTTTGATTCTGGTCCATTGATCCGCGTGTCCGTGTATTTATGGCAGGAACCGTGTTGTCCACAGTGCCATTGCTTTAATGCAGAGCTGGGAGTCCGATAACATGATGCTTTCGTTTCTCTTTTCGCTGCTACTCAGGGCCTTTTATGGTTCTGCACAAATGTCAATATTTTTTGTTCATTTTCTTTGGAGAACGTTGCTGGGATGTTGCTGGGGATTGCGCTGCATTTGTGTCTCGTTTCCAGCAGGAGAGTCACGTACTGGACTTGCCGTGCCGCTTTCTGGCGGTGCTGGATTTGGGGCAACTGCCGGCTTGGAGCGTAACTCGAACAAACATTCACAGGCTGTTGTTTCTCTTTCTTTTCCATGGAAGGGACCCCTGCACCCCCCTTTGCCACCCCCTCATCAGCCCCAGCCGCAGCCCCAGCAGCAGCCCCCGCTCCAGCCCCAGCACCAGCCCCCGCTCCAGCCGCCGCCCCAGCACCAGCCGCCGCCCCAGCCGCAGCACCAGCCGCCGCACCAGCCGCAGCAGCACCAGCACCACCACCACCTGTCCGTCCCGCCCCCGCCGCTCATGCCCATGTCGCAGCCGCCCTTCAGGCCGCACCTGCAGCCGGCCCAGCCGCAGCCCAGCAGTGGCCGCATGCAGTGCCCGCAGCGCCAGGGGCTGAGACACGTAAGTACCCCGTCTCCAGCTCTCCTCCAGGATGCCCCTGACGTCCCAGAACCTGGGGGCCAGGTGACACCCTTCCGAGGGCGTGCACGACGCACAGGGACCGCCGTTTCCTGCGCTGGACACGTGCTTTAAAAACCACGTAGGAAATTGATTTTCTTGGCCACAGAAATTAAAAGTGTCCCCTTTTTTGCCTTAAAGACTGTGTTAACATTGTGTCCTGAGGCGTCTTCCTCGTGTGTGTCAGGCTTGCTGTGGGGAGAGGTGATGCTCTGAACCGACAGGCTCCTGGCTCTAGGGAGCCCCGGCCTGATGGCCCTGGGCCTTTGTAGGTGACTGACCCTTGGATGCGCAGGTGACGCCTCTCCCCAGGGGCTCCCCATCAGGCGGAGAGTTTATGGGCTGTCCTTTGTTGCCGGGCCCCGTGCTAGCTCCAGGTGACGCCCTGTCCGCATGGAGCTTGCGCTGACCCACAGGGGCAGTGCTCCACGAGCCTGGTCAGGTGTCAGCGCAGCTCGGCCTGCGTGCTGCCTTCCCTGGGGAGGCTCCCTATAAATAACTGGCTCTGAGGAGGCTGGTGGTCAGCGCTGGGTGAGGAGAGGAGGAGGTGGCGTGTTCCTTTCAGTGTTGTCCCTTTGGGTCTTGACCGTCAGCTCCGGGCAGGGCTGCTGTGGTACCTGGGTCTCGTTTCGTCAGAGCCGGTGGCCGGCGCCTCCCCTGCCTCGTGCCTGTAAATCCTGACCTGAGCACCACCCACCTCCCTCTCTGTGAGCTCCTCCTGGTGCTGGGATGTGGTGAGGACCCCGGGGTGGGTGCGGCTGAGAATGAGGTCTTAGGTGGAACCTCTGCCGTCTCTGCCCCCAGGGAGGAGAATTTCTCAGGGTGCTGGCTTGTTGCTGGCCCTTTTCTTGGCCCACAGTACCTTCCAGAGGCCCCATTCCCATCCCGAAGCGCCCCCGCCCCGAGGTCACCGGCTACGCTGTGCCGTGCGAGGGGCATGGCTCTCCCTGGTGGCGGTGGTGCCTGTCTGGCCCAGGCCAGGCGTTGGAGACAGAGCCTGCCAGCAGGCAGCCGATGGGAGTACCTTTGAGGCGTTCTTGTCACACGTGTCTTTTTACATTCTTTTCACTCGCTTAAGTTTCTGCTTGGGGTTAGAATGTCTCGCTTCTCTCCACAGAATTCCACCTCTCAGAACGTCACCAAGCGACCGATGCAGCAGATGCAACCGACTGCCCCAAGGAACAGCAACCTGCGCGAGTTGCCCATCGCACCGGCCCACGTCCTGGACGGGAGCAGCGGTCGGAGCGCCTCCACGCCCGCAGCCCAGGTGAAGCCCATGGTCAGCACGTCCCCACCCGCGAGGCCTGTCCTGGGCTCCAGGAACACGCAGGGCAAGGCCGAGGTGAAAGTCAAGCCGGTGAGCCCTGCAGCTCAGCCTAAAGAAGATGCAAAAACTGAGCCGGAGGTAGGCCTTGGTTTGTGTTAGGGTTGAAGCCTTGTAAATCTGCCTCCCCCATCTGGCGAGCTACTCCCAGGATTCCCCCTTTCCAGTGGGGTCCTCCCCCTAACCCGGTGGCCATGCTCACATAAGCTCCTGCTGGCTAAAGCTGTAGCTCTGGTGTGCACGTTTGCCTGGTCCCCGTGCACTGGAGGCCACGCCTGAGAGCCCAGATGGTAAGTCTGTTAGGCGTCAGAGTTCAGTCCTTCCTCTGCAGCAGCTCTGCTGTTGGGGCACGGTAGCAGTTCCAGACGGTTCTTAGATCCCCGGCCCAGCCCTGTTCCAGCACTTGACTCAGAGTCAGGCGTCGGGCCGGTTTGGCTCCCTGACGAGTTCACTGAGCCTGTCACACTCCGACACCTTTCCGTAACGCGCGCTGGCCCCTCTGGACCTGAGCCTGTCACGGGGATTTAGGCGGTGGTAGTCGTGTGTTTTGAATTGTAACTATTGCTGGTTTTTGATAGGGTTAGGGTGTTGTAAAACCAGTTATAGACGCAGGCCGGTACTGCGTGGTTCCCAGCTGACACCTTCCTTCCATTTTGATTGCGTTTCGGCCACTTGACCATGTTTGCTGGGGACAACTCAGTAACGAGCCCGGCACTGGTCACCAGCTCCATCTCCCCTCGGTAAGTGTCGGGAAGCCGCATGGCTCCAGGCTGGCCAGCCTCCTAGAGGAGGTGATGTGCTGGGGGGTGCTCCCTGGCGGTGGGACTCTGGCCCTGGGCTCTTCTCCCTACTGGAAGAGGAACAAGGGCGTGCCGCTTTTGTGCCAAGAAAATGTAGGTGCTCGCAAAGGAGCACGGAGAGAACCCCCCCCACCCCGTCCGGCCCCTGCCAGGTGAGCCAGCAGGTCCCTCTTCTCCTCACCAGCTGCGCTTCCCTTTCTGTGGGGAAGTGGGGGAGGATCGGTGTGTGGGACCTGGCGCTGTGAAGCATACGCAGAATGTGACAGGTCTATGTCGTGTGTTCGCTGAATGAAAGAAAAATAGTGCCGAGTTTCCGTAGCTAAGAGTGCAGGCGGGTTGTGTTTCTTGCTTACGGAATATGTAAGACTCAGTTAGTGCCGAGTCCGGTTTGGTGGGGAGGTGTGGGATTTTCTTCTGATGCACCGTCTTGGTGGTTTTTACCAAATCACAGATTAAATGGGACAAAGAGTGAATTGATATTTAATAAGATCTTACTAAAAGAAGAGTGACTTTGTTGAAAGAAACCGCAGCCACGTGCCGTTCTTCTGGCACCAGCAGTGGCTGAGCCACACGAGAGGCTCGCTCCCCGCCTGCGGGGGCTGCGGCCGCGGCCCTTTCGTGCCGGCTGATCTTGGCAGGCTCTGAAGCGCCTGTGGTGGCCGCGAGCTGGCCCGTGGCTGCAGTGACGTTGGGTGATTGCATTTGTTTGCTTTTAATTTTCTGTGCACACAGAATGGGGCCGGAAGTAGGTTTGCTTTTCTTTTTTTTAACTTTTTTGAAGATAAAGTCTTCTAGTTTGCTTATTAGGTGGTTTAGTTTCATACATTCACCCAGTTGACAAAGAAGTATCAAAAGGCAAAGTCTACTTAGAAGTGTTCCTTGCTGTATCCTTAGACACATTTTATCTCTTCCTTGGCTGCCTGCTTGGGGGAGACCCCAGTGAGTGGGGCTCATGCCGAGGCTGTCATTCTTCCCCGGCCATGCACCCCCAGCACCCCATGCCTTTTTGGACACTTGTTCATTGTCCTGTCTTACCCCCGATGTCGCTTCTTGCTCTGGACACCTTCCTGGGTTGGGGGTCATCTGACTTCAAACTTGCTGTTTCCTGTCGGTCCTCAGGAGCTTTGGAGCTAGAGGACCAAGGTGGTCAGAATTGTGTCTGGAAAGACAGGCCAGCCCCAGGGAGGGCTGATTGCGTCCTGGAGGTCAGGTCCTGGGCTCTGGCACCAGGTGCCTGCTCTCCAGCTGCACTGGGGTCCTAACTCCTGATTCTTGGGTTTATAAGCAGCTAAATTCTAGATTAAGTCCTGTTACAGTCTGTCATAAAGGACCTGTGGGTGAGGAAGATATTTATAATTTTGTAATATTTATAATTAATTTTATAAAAAACTTGCTTTTTAAAGCAAGTCGTCGTTTTTCATAAATGCTTGACTTTAATAAACTCCACTGTGGGCCCTTTTGATGGAGGTTGCTGGCTCCTCCAAGCTCTGGTGATGGACGCTCGGGCGCTGGGGCTGCGGGCCCAGCATTGGCATTCCAGCACGGCACCGGCAGCTTCTGATTCCAGGCAGAGTGCACCAGTTCAAGGTCAGGGAGATTGCCTTGGCGCTGTTCATTATAACCAATTATTCTGTGACAAATGAGGTTGAGATCAGGCTGAAAATTCTGTACGAAAAATCAATAGTTCTAATCAGGCGCTTTCAGGTCATTTACACCCCACCTTTTGTTGGTTTGTCAGAAGCCCAGATAAAACCTGTGGGGCCACGTGGCCGCCCCACTATTGCCGCTTCCATTGGAAACATATTTTGATATCTTAAATGGGCGGTTTAATTGGTTTCAGACTTGTAAATGAGTGGAAATTTACATTTTCGTTTCTAATATTCTGATAAGATTTTCCAAATTAGCTTTAGCTTGTGTAATTTTGTTCCTCTCCCCAGAGGAAGGAGTTACACTTAACGGCTTCAAGCAGACTCTGAATGGCTGCGTTTAGATCCTGAATGAAAGTGTTCTTGGAAAATGCGTTTTCTTGGTTTGCTGGCTGCCTGCACTCCAGTCCAGGTCAGCCCTGCTGGTTTTCTCTTTCAGTTTCCTGATGAAGATGAAGAGACCAGGTTATATCGCTTAAAGATAGAAGAACAGAAGCGCCTCCGAGAAGAAATCTTGAAGCAGAAGGAGCTGCGGCGACAGCAGCAGGCTGGGGCCCGGAAGAAGGAGCTCCTGGAGAGACTGGCCCAGCAGCAGCAGCTCTGTCCCCCAGCCACCCCCACAGAGCAGCAAGAGCCCCCGTCTTCACCGCCACCCGCCAGTGGGAACCCGTTGCTACCCTTCCCCGGCGCCCAGATCAGGCAGAATGTGAAAAACAGACTTCTCGTGAAAAACCCGGACGGCGCCGCTTCCAATGTGCAGCCCAAAACATCCAGTTTCGTGCCACCGGGCGCGCACATGCAGTATCAAGGGCAACAGGCGAGACCCCTAAAACACTTGAGACAGACCAGAACCGGGCCTCAGAGTCCAGCTCAGCACAAAGTCCTCCCGGGGAAACCCGCGGATGGAGAGGGACCCCCAGGACCACCGGCCCCCTCGCAGACCGCTCGGGTGGCATCCCTCCAGGCCCGGCCCCTGGATGCCAAGCCCGGCGCCAAGAGGACCGTCATGCACCGGGCCAACAGCGGTGGTGGAGATGGACCGCACGTCGGCTCCAAAGTCAGGGTGATTAAGTTGTCAGGCGGGGTAAGTTGAAGACAAGGTCACTTGGGGTCTGTACTCCAGGGAGACCCCCCCCCCGCCCCGACACACACACACACACACCCCTTCCCAGAGAACGCTGTCCAAGTGGGGGCTGCCTGTGCTGCCTCAGCCCCGCCGTCACCGTGGGGAGCACAGAACCCTGCCGCTCGGGCTGCTTTCAGTTGTCCTTTCTGCCTCTCGGTGACAGTGTGGGGAGCTTCTTAGACTTCATGTGCAGCATGAAGTTCAGTAACCAGCGTGTTTATCTTCACGCTTACCCGGCCTGGGGGCACGTGGGTGGCCCTGCGCCGCAGGGGGTCGTGCAGGGGGCGAGGGCTTCCTGCGTGTCTCTGAACTCCACTGGGCAGCGTTTCCCTTGTGGCCTCGGTTGTGTATTTTTGTAGGAGCTATTTTTAGAGATCTTGTTCCTAGCCGCGCTGACCCCAGGCAGTATGGACTGGGCACAGGCCCGTCAGTGTAAGCGCGCCCCTCTGTGCTGCTGTCCGCGGGCCGGCCTGCGTGTGGGGCCCAGCCTGGCTCTCGCAGCAGCCAAGCCCACCCCTCACCACCCAGGGCAGTCCCATGGGCGGGCATTAGGGACGATTCTCTGGCGCTTCTTACCCACGCAAAATACCGTTTCTGCTTTCTGGTTCAGAGCCGCTCACGCCACCTAATTGTGGGTCCCGGTTCCTGTGTTTTGCCCTGAGCCCTTGGCTGCTTTGCGCCTTGGTGGTGAGGAACAGGGCGCTAGTGCGCGCAGCTCCCCAGATTACTCTGGCAGGAGTCCTTTTATTTCCTGCGGACTTTTTGTCTAAGCTAAACTGGTATCTGGTGTGTTTAAGTCACGCCTGGCGTTGGGTGGTCCGGCCTGCAGTATGACGCAGGGACTGGACATCCTGCCCGACTGCGGCCTCCGGGTACGCTTGCAGCGGCTCTCCCGGCTTCTGTTATTTCAAATATTCTCCCATTGACAGTCAATCCATGGATCCTGGGGCTTCCCCATTGCAATTTTTGAGAGGTGAAAGCTCCGTCTTGAGCCCCGGGCGTGCAGTCTGCTCTAAGGTGACGCTGCCTCCTAAGCGGTGTTGACCCCGCTTGGAACACACATTGCCTGCCCCTGGTGGTGCTCCCCTGGGGCAGCGCTGCGTGGCCACAGGAAGCCTCTTCAGAGCGCATCTCGTGGACCGTGCTGGGCGTCGTTTCCCACGTTGTCGTGGTGACTGGGCTTGTCTGGACTCGGGGCTCAAGGCCTTCACTTTCCCTTGCAGTGTCTCTGGCTCCCCGCCAGGCCCGACTGCTGGCGAGGAGGCCCGCAGGGCGTGCTTGGCCGTCATGGACTGTCTGTGGGACCCTGACAGTCCCCTCCTTTCTCTGAGCCTGAGTTTCACCCTGTAACGGGGTTACTGGCAGGTGCTGTGAGAACTAAATGGGCTGCTTGGTGAGCAGCTATGCGGACGCGGCGGCGCAGGAGCGTCCACCCCTGCCTCAGCGCTCCCAGGGCCGCTCAAGGTGCCCTGCTCGTGGGGGTGGTGGTGGAGGGGGAAAGGGAGGGGGTGGCGGGGCGGGACAACAGCCGCCTGCTCTTCACCAGGTGCTCTATTCAAGCCCCACCCCCTCAGTAGCCACTGTTGTTCCCGCCTCCGGGGAGCACATGAGCCTGCCTGAGGGCCTGTGGGCAGCCCGGGGCCACGCGGCTCCTGACCTGGAGAGCCAGGGTCTGCACCCGCCTCGTGGTTGTCCCAGTGGTGGTGGTTTTGCTGCCTCCTTGTCTGCTGTGGCCGTTAGGCTTTGCCCGAGGGTAATGTCTGCTGTTTCCAGTAAGCTCTGGCAGGTGGATTCAGGGTGTGTTCAGTGGGCGCCCGGAGCCAGGATGCTGGCCGGCCTCACTTTGCTTCCTCGCCCCATTTGGTGCCGGGGCATAGTGGTCGGAAGGAGCTGGGCGGCAGGTGCACCTGACGTGGAGGGTGTTGCTGTGACTGCCGGCCTGGGGAGCCGGCGGGGCTTTGAGACCCCATTCTCCAGAACCTGCGTGGCGTGTTCTTTGACCGTCCGGTGGCCACATGGCTGCCGGCCTGGAGCGTGAGTGCCGGCGGCTCCCCACCCAGGGCACCTGTGGCTGTGTGCCACCGGCCGCGTGCCCTCGAGCACGCCCCCGGGGGTCAGGCTGGGTCAAACTGGGTATTTAAGACATGAGAGGCATGGAGATGTGAAGAGACCTTTTGCTACTGGGTTTATCCGTAGCTGTGGGGGGGACCTTTACCTTTTGCCACGCGTGGTCTGGATTTCTTGCGTGAGGCCACGAGGGGAACACGTTCATGCTGGTCGCAAGGAGTGTGGGTGTTGGCACGCAGTGCTTCTCAGGTGCCTTGTGCCACCCAAAACAATGTGTCAGCAGGTAATTGGCGTATGAAATCATACGTGATGACATAGTTTCCTTTGTATAATTTAAAATATGCAAATAGTCTCCATTTGACCATTTCTCAGAAAGTTACTCTGAAGTGTTTTAGGTCAAGAAAATCTGGTGTCTAATTTTCAGAAACCATCCGTAACCCGTGAAACAGTGCAGGAAACTACTCAAGGGGTAGCAGAGCACAGGTATGAAAAAGAGGACCTGCCTGCTTTGCGTGGAGATGCTGTGGTGCTGTCGCCTTCGGCCTTGGTCTGTGGTGAGACACAAAGGGAGCCCTGCCCCCCAACACCACCACCAGGCCAGGCCTGCTCAGGCGGGCCCCTGGGGCCTGGCGCCTGTGTGACCTGTGTCCCGGCCTGCGGGGGGGCAGTGAGGACCGGCTGTCCTGGCACCCACGGGCGGTGGCACCGTGCCTGTCGTGACAGGGGCTCAATAAGTGGCACTGCCCTTCCCGTTAGTCACAGAAGAAAAATGGGCTTTTTAGCGTGGCAGTGGTGTTCCTGAAAAAATGAAAGCACATTCTGAATTCAGCTGCTTTATTCTCATTGAAGTAAAGAAAATTTCAGGGACTTGGCAGCAAATTAAGTAAACGGCCCTTTGTTCTGCCGGCCACACAGAGCAGGGCCGCGCAGCACGCAGCGGGGAAGCCAGCTGTCCTCACGCCGCTCCCGCAGTTGGTCTTTAAAGGCTGTCAAAGTGCCGCATGCACACGGTCCCGGCATGCTTGGGGGGGATCGTGTGTGGGGGCCGGGCTGCGCCTGTCGATGTCACGCTGTCCCCCCCGCCGCCCCCGAAGTCATCCTCAGATGGCCTCTGGAGAAGATGGTGGCGGGAGAGGGCTGTGTCCACACCTGGTCTCCAGTTTAACGTGGCAGGCTCGCTCCGTTCCCCCGCGGTCTGTGTTGCCGCGCTGGCGTCACCGTGAATCTCTGTCCTTCTCTGCGCGCACACGCGGCGTGTGCTGAACCCTTGAAGGCAGGTTGGAGGCACAGCGAGTCATCTCAGAGCTGAGCTGCCCTCGCGGACTCACAGCTGCAGCTCCAGGAAGCGGCCGCCCTCCCTGCAGTACGCGTCGGGTGCGGCGGCCCTGAGGGCTGCTCCCTGTCCTGCTCAGGACCGCCTGTCCGCCTGGAGCAGCCCTTGGTCTGTGTGTGCCTTCCCTGGGCCTTTTTCAAGAGACGCCAGTGGTCTTGTCGCATGCTCCCCAGGTCGCCATGGTCTCCTCGCGGTGTGTGTGGTGCGGCTCCCGCAGGACACCGCGGAGGCTGGGCCAGGTCCTGCCTGTGGGTGGGAGGCACTGGCATCGGTTGTCTGGTCCCTGCAGCCCGATCCCGAGTAAGGGGTGTTCCGGGGCGCTCTGCTGGGCTGGCGCTGTCTTTGTGGCGGGCCATGTCCCTCGTGGGAAGATGCGGCACAGCCCGCCTTGCACTTGCTCCTGCTTCCCATCTGTGGGCCCCGCGCTCCTCTGTGGGGGCCGGGCGCGGCACCGTCATCAGCTGTCGGTAAGTGGCGGCCCCGGGCAGCCTGTCCTGGCAACGCGGCGCCCAGGCCCGGGGTGCTCACCTGCTGCCCCATCCCACCCCGGGAGTCCAGCGCTGGCGTTTTCACAGGGAGCGTGCACAAGAAGGCTGTGTGGGAGTGAGCAGCGCGGGCCTCTCCTCTCCACAGCATTTTAACTGACCGAGGAACCTCGCCGAGAGCCCCGACCTCTCCTCCTCCTCCTCCTCCCCGACCCCCCCCCCCCCCCCCCCCGGCTCTCGCATAGTGGCCTTCAGAGACTAGCCCGCCCGTGGCGGCTGCGTCTGGGCGCTCCCTACGACACGCGCATCGTGCACCGTCCCACATCGAAGCGTCCCGGGGATGACAGGCCGGGCCCGGCATTGTGCCGCCGCGCCCGCCGGCTCCATGAGGTCCCGGGCTGGGGGCGCGGCGCCTGACAGTGAAGTGGGCCTTATCGAAGGAGGATTCCTAAGAGGCCGCCCCGGGACCCCAACCACTGTCCTTCTGTGTGTGCTGACAATGTTATCTGTCCGCTCAGTCCCCGGCATCAAATGTCTGTCATGAGTACAGAAATTAATTTAATGTCACCTGAAGACATGCAATTAATCTTTTAGAGGTTTTCATAATACCTTTACAGAAAGAGTTGCCAGTTTGGCGGATTTGGATTTTGGGGTTTAGAAGAAGATAAGGAAAATTAATTTTTCATCAGGGTTAATACAAGCTAGCCGGGCCACAAAGGCTGAGAAAAATGGTCGGGGAATTTGTCAAGTGTTGTCACTCTAGAATAATGCTGCTTAACGTCTGATAGGTGTAATCAAGAGCCGCGGCTTCTATGGAAGGGGATTAATCAGTTTGCTCGTAGTGAATGCGAGTCAGTGATACCACTTCTTCGTGGGGTTGGAGAATGAAAATAAGATTTGATCTGTCAAATGGCGGGAAGCCCTGACAGTATCAATAGGCACTTTTATCTGTACATTTAAACCATTGGCCATAAATAAATTTGTCCTGCTAATGTTGGTGGCTACCAACCTCATTTTCTGCAGTGATTAAGCCGATAAAAAGTCTTCCCTGAGCTTACTTAATTCAGGTAGTGCCTCTTGTGTTTAGGAAAAACTAAAAAGCCATTTTTGTAGTATTTGTTGGAAGATAATCGTTTGTGGGGGGAAAGCCAACAAAATATTTCCCCTGTGGTCTGAGGTTAACCGAACCTCTCTCATCTGTTTTGTAGCAAGTGGGAGCGAGTAGAACTGTTTCTAAACACGGTGCCAGGTGAGAAATGAAAAACCCAGTTTCCCAGTCCGCTTCCCGGCTGGGCGCCGCAGAGGGCGCAGGGCGCGGGGCAAGCAGGCCTGAAGCCCTCTCCGCGCCCCCGACAGGTCAGGGCCCTCCGCGCGGCGGGTCTCGGCTGCTTGCACTTGGTTCCTGGCCAAGGACCGTCCTGCCCGTGGTCTGGCGCAGCGGTGAGAAGGCTGGCGTGTCTGGGCTTGGCTGGGAGAACTCTGAAGTTGAAGGTTTTCTCCCAAACATTCGCTCTTCGTTGGCCACTTTGAAAGAGAAGGTTCTCTCCTTTGGGGAAAGAAAGAATTTTCTTACAAAATGAAAAATGGATCTTTATATTTAAGCCTTGAGCGCTTAGCCTGGTTTTCAGAAACATGCAGAGACACTGCTTCGTACGCGCACGCGTCATTAAAATGACGTCACTGACCACGGTCGTCCCTTTCGCTTGACCTCGTGCTGGAGGCCGTTCGTTGGTGTCACTCCTTCCCCAGGAGGCAGTGCGGGGTCGCGGCTTAGGAACCCCAGAGACTGCACGTTCCAGCACCCCCGCCTGGCCAGAGTCAGCCTCTGGTTTCTCATTTGAAAAATGAGGCTGTGAGGACGTAACCTGTGGGGCGGGGAGGGGGCCCTGGCGCGCGAGTGCACACAGCCGCGCCCACGCGCCCCCCCCCCCCCCCCCGGCCTTCGTGGCCCTTCTCCCAGGACAGTCTCCTGCTGTGCCACGCGGCGGGGGGGGGGGGCAGGTGCTGGCTTGCATGCTCGACCCGGCGTCCCTGTGGAGTTGCCAGCAGTGAGCAGGGCCTCCGCCCAGGCCCGTCCTTGTGAACTGGACACCCCCGGAGTGGCGCCTGGTGCCGTGGTGTAGCCAGGGGAGCGCAGCCCTTGGCCGTGGAGGGGCCCCTCGGGTGAACAGGCCGGGTAGGGGAGGGGGGCGGACTGACCCCTGCTGGGCTGGCGCGGAGGGGCGGCAGGAGGCGAGGTTGACCACGACTCTGAGCGCAAGGAAAATTGAGCTTCCTTGTCACCGGCGAGGGGAGAGAGGCTTTCTGCACCACAGCTGTGTCCCTGGACGTTTCCAGTAAGGGCAGCGCCTACTGGAGACAGTGAACTTTCCTTAGAATATAAGTTCAGAATTTCGCTTTCCTTCCTGGCATCCGTGGCCAGCCGTGGATGACCGCCTGTCGCGGGTGGCCTGCGCACATTTCCCTGGGCTCTGCCTTGGCGAGGAGCCGTGGCCCCAGAGCCACACACACGGGGTCCTCGGTGTCGGAGGACGCGCGCGCCGCAGCGCAGTCGGAGTGGGCGCTGTCCAGCGGGGCTGCGGCAGGGCTCTGGATCCAGGCCCAGCTCACCTGGCAAAGCCCCTGGTGACTCAGGGACAGACAAGTGTCCCTGCCTAGTCCAGGGTAATTTGGAGAGAAGGGGCCAGTTTCTCACCACCGAGTGTGCCGGCGGCACGCTTGCAGGGAGGCCCCACCCAGTCGCCGAAAGCCCGTCGCAGCCTGCTCTGTGGAGAGCTGCGCCCCTCGCCCTGCGCCGGTCAGGTGGGCACGCTCTGGCACGTGGGCTGGCTCCGCAGGGGGCAGCGCTGCTCACGGGGTCCCCCTCTGTGTCGCCGAGTGTAGTCGGCTCTAGGGTTGGTTCCGGGTGTTTATGTGTCTCTAGGAGGGTGTCTGTGGCCTTTCCTTCAGCTCTCCTTTGCCTTTGGCGGCGGGTGGTGCTGGAGTCAGAGGTCCTCCTCCTCCTCTGGGCTCGGAGGCGTTTTTTGCAAGGTGGTGTCTCTGCGCGCGCTTCCCGGGGACTCCATGCGCTCGGGTTTGGGGGAGCCTGGTGGTGCTCAGCTCGGTGTCCTGGCTTTGAAGATTTTTTTCTCCTTTTAAATTAGTTTTGATATCTTGTGTCTTTCAGGGAACGTGCCGTTTCACGCAGGCTTCCGGAGTGGGCCTGCCTTTCCGCTTTCCAGGGTTTTCTGCCGCGTTCCTCTGTCATCGCCCCTCGGCCACCTCGTCCTTTCCTCCCTCGCGTGTGGCTTGATTTCCTGCCTTTCCCCTGCTCCTCTCTCGAGAGGAAATCTCAAGATACTCATGTTATGTCTCTTCCTTCCTTCCCGAGCTGTCTGGGGTGCATCCCCTCCATTGTGACATGCAGGATTTTCATTTCCATTCAGTTCAGATATTTTTGGTTCGGCGTTTCGTTCGTGCGTGTCTTTCTTAACTCTGGCTTCCGGGGTGGGGCACCTGTTCTCTATAGCTTCCTGGCTGGCGGGTCACTTGGGCAGGGATTCTGTCGAGCTACTCTGAGCCCCCAAGCCGGGGAATCTGCATGTGGCCATGTGAGCCGCCTGCCCCCCGGGGCCCGGCACCGGTCACTCACCCTCAGCCATGTGTGGCTTGTTGGAAGGACTTTTCTAGGCTTCCTGTAGCTCTGGCACGGCCAGGGTTTGTTTCCTCTTCAAGGCTCTCAGATTTCTGGCTGGCCTGCCGCTGTCCCCTGGACGCCGGGCGCGCCCGGCCCCCTGCCCTGCGAGTGCTCAGGCTTCCGCCCTGACAGCCTGCGGGCACCCCCTCGGGAGCTGAGGCCCCCCGCCCCGCCTCCAGGATAGGTGTGGCCCCATGTCTAGTGTCACTCGTGCTTCCACAGCTCTGAGATGCCCATCAGCTGCAGTTGAGTCTGGTTTTACACTTGGGGGTGAGTGCTGCTGGCCTCTGCGTGCTGCCGCCTCCGGGCCTCCCCCGCGGCACTTGTGCGTGACGTCCTGATAGGTCCCCTAGCTGGGGCCGGGGAGGATCGCTGTCTTGTCCCAGCCTCGTTTCTTCCCTTGGTTCTGTTAAACTGACGGAACGACAGCTCTGAGGGGAGGAGAGAGACGGGCGCGTGGGCTTCTGCACGCGGTCGCCGGGCCGGTCTTGGCGGCACCGGCAGCGCCGAGCAGCCGTTGCGGAGGTTTCCCGAGTGGCCAACTCACTCCTGCGAGGGCTCCGGCCGACAGGCGTCCCGCGCCGCCCCCCTTGCTCGTGGGACGGCTTCATCTAGCGGGCGAGGTCCGGCGCCCACCGTCCACACTTTCTTTCCGGGCCCGGCGCTCCTCTCGCCACACTGCCCCTCGCCGGGACCTGGCTTCGCGGGCCGCCAGGTTGGGCGGGTCACGGAGTGGGAAACAGCAGAAAGGCCTCTGGCTTTGGCTTTTGGCACCCTCCCAGAGCTTTTCGTCGGGGCGAGCTCTCTGGCAGCAGGTGCTCTGCCGGTGGGGAGGCCCTGGACACGCCCCAGGGCCAGTCAGGTGACCCCCACCTGCACCCCTAGATGTGTGTGGCAAGGAGTGGCACCGGCAGGGCAGCCCAGAGGGCACACAGGAGGAGGCAGGCAGCGGGCAGCCGCCGCCTCTGGAGTGACTCGGTGGCTGGAGCGCGCAGCGCCTCGGGTTTACATTGCCCCAAACACTGTCGGGTGGGGGGAGTCCTTTGTGGCGAGGGCGGCCGCTGCCCCTCGTTGGAGGGAGGGCACCGCCCCGCGCCAGGTCTGACTGGCTGTCCCGTGTTGCTTTCAGCAGGGAGGAGAGAGCGACGGCTTTTTTCACCCGGAGACCCAGCCCCAGCGGCTGCCGCCACCCCCCGAAGTGAGACAGCAGCCGACCCGCAAGGTGACGCTGACCAAGGGGGCCCTGCAGCAGCCCCAGCCCCCTCCGGGGGGCCCCCACATGCACACTGGCGGCCCTCCAGGCATCAGGAGCGTCCAGGGAATCCACCAGGCCAAGAAGGTACTTGAGGCGCCCTTCCGGGGGCTGGCCAGGAGTGGGGCTCCAGGCCCCGCCATCCTGACCTCTGGGCAGACCTGGCAGGAGCATCTTCCTCCTGCCTCCAGGGAGGCCCGCGGCCCGGGGTGGGTGGGGCGCCTCCCGTACCCGTGACTGCCTGGGGACCGCACCGCCTGCGCCCTGCTCCCCGCTCTCCCTCTCTTCCAGCTCCCTCACAGCTGTGGCGCTGCCCAGCGCATAGCTGCGCCCTGTCCCTCCCTTATCCTCCCTGCCAGCCGCCGCCTCGGGGCTCAGTCTGCTCGGCAGGCCTGTGTGTCTGGTGGCCTCCTGGGGCAACGGTGTCCCCTCCCATGAGGAGCCCCCCTAAGGAGAAGAGGGGTGCCCCCGCCTCAGCCTCTAGCAAGGGGCCTCTTTGTAGCTTCCCCAGAGTGCACCGGGGCCTGCGGCCTGGCAGCGGAGGCAGACAGCCAGCTTCTCTGCAGTGACGCCAGAGAGGAAGGGGGTGGCGGGCACCACCTGCTTCGGGGCCTTCCAGAGAGTCTGGGGGCCTGCTGGCGCACCCCGGCTGCCGCCGGTGCTGAGCTCACTGGGCAGGCTGGGAGTAGGGGCAGGTCGCGCGGACCCCAGCAGTCAGATGCGGGGGCCTCCCCACCTTCCAGTGCCATCACTGGGCACCTCTGGCTTTGGCTTTTGGCTCCTGAAAGTGCATGGCATGTCACCAAGGACACACGTGCACACTTGTCCCCAGGTGCAGCCTGTGGAGACTGCTGCAGGCTCGGTCCTCTTCATCCGGGTGTTGTCCCTGGGTGGCGATGAGAGACGGAGACGGTGTGTCCCCAGGCAGGGGTGTGTGTGGCCAGGGGTCCCCAGTGCCTGCGAGATGCCATGGTGTGTGTATGTGGCCCCTCTACACTGTCCCGCCGGGACTGCGGCCAGAGGGGCTCGGGCTTTGGGGCTCCTGGGCCGTGAGCCCTTCACTGTGCAACTTGCCGTGATTCCGAGCCTGCGGCCAGCCGGGGCCTGGAACCAGCGGCTCTCGGAGTTGCGGGAGCCACGCGGGGCCTGGAGGGGATACAGAACTCCCTGCCGCCCCGGGGTGTGTCACAGACTCAGTCTGGGTCGCTGAAGCGCTGTTGGTTTTTGTCGTTGCCAGGCCCTCATGCACGGGAGAGGCCGGGGCGCAGCCGGCGCCATGGGCCGTGGGCGCCTGGCGCCCAACAAGCAGAACCTGCGGGTGGTAGAGTGCAAGCCTCAGTCCTGTGTGGTGTCCGTCGAGGGGCTCTCGCTGTCCACAACGGATGTCCAGCTGAAGACCCTGCTGATGTCCGTGGGGCCCATCCAGGTAAGTGCCAGGGATGCGGGCCTCTGCTCTGGAGTCCCGCTCTGCTGCAGACGTGGGGAGCGCTTACTCCCGCCAGCAGGTCACCCTTCACACCCCAGCTCGCCTGACATGTTTTTATGCCGTCAAACATTTGTTTGACTTGTAATAATTTAAAATTTTTAGCATATCCAGTTTTCTTGGCCTGCATTCCAGAAACAGGTCCCTCAGCCAGATGGGGAGGCACGCAGGCTGGTCCAGGTGGCTGCACACGCAGAGTAGGTGCGAGCCCCACAGAGCACGCCAGGCCTGTTGAGGCGGTGTGGCTGCGGTTACCATCGCTGTCCCCTTCCCCGAGAGGGCTGGATCCAGCTGCCTCTGGCCTGGGGCTGACCAGCAAAGTCGCCGAACCTCAGGCTTCTGACACAGTGGAGGCCGCTGGCCCAGGTGGGCAGGAAGCCTGTGTCCATGGGATGACGCCCGCCTCCCAGGGCAGGGCCTCCAGACAGCGAGGCAGGGTCAGCGCGAGCCCCCTAGCGTGCTGGAGCATGGGACGTGCCGGTCCTGGCCTGAGACTCAGACCAGGTCTTCAGAATTGAATTTTGCACTTTGGGTTTTAGGTCACTCCATTGTCCTTTCCCCACTTGCCTTGCCTTCCCTGTGCTGGAAAGAACTGGAGCCCGTCACCAAGTTTGAGCAAGTGCACGTAGAAGCCTGGCAGCGCCTGTTGGGGGGTGGGGTTTGCTGTACTGAGGGAAGAAAAGTCCCTCCCTCTGGTGGAGGTGGGTGTGGCCTCGGCCTCCCCACCCGCACGCCCACCTGCCTGGCCCACGAGGAGGGCACCGAGATCAGCTCTTACCAGCCTGGGTCCTTGAGATGGTCCAGAGGGGAGTCTCTAGATTGTTGAGCACTGCTTGCAGAAAATGCTGGTTTTCTTAACGTAAAACTCGAGAAAACAAGCGGACTTATTTAACCAGCATTCGATAGCTAAAAAATGATACTGATGGGTATGAGTCTCTGCTAGACCTTTATAACCAGACGCCATTGTGGCTTAAATATAAACAAACCCCAAAGAAACGGTGCTAGCGACCCAGGCTGCCCGCTTTCCTGCTTCCAGGAAGGAAAAGGAACCGTAGGGCCCTGTGTGGGGCTGTGGCGCCACCTGGTGGTCACTCGGCGTCCTGCGCCTGTGGCCTCCAGTGATGCCCCTGGGCCTTTTCCTGCAGGCCTGTGTCAGCTCTGCTCCTCCAGCCGAGGAATCGGGGCCCTGGGGTGGGCTGCAGCCGGCAGGGTTGCACGCACCCTGGCTTGTAAACCTCTCTGGAGAGTTCCCTTGATAGGCATCTGCTCCCTTCAGGCTGTGGCTGCCCCTTGCTGAGCAATCACCTACTGTGGTGTGATGGGGAAAGCAGAGCGATCTCAACTTGACCCACAGAGGGCCCCAGGGGGGCAGCAGTCCCCAAGGGCCCCCGCCCTGGCCTCACGGGTCGGTGTTGAGAGGAGCCCGGGCGGCTGGTCTTCACCGGGCTGGAGGGAGGACACGTTGCAGCCGCACTGTGTGCGCTGACTGAGAGCAGTGTCCCAGGGTTGAGGAGTTGCGGCAGCCAGTGGACAGGGGTATGCCTTCCCCAGAGACGGCGTGGCGGTTAAGGGTTTCTCTTCCTCCTCTGCAGAGTTTACAGATGCTTCCCCAGCAGCGGAAAGCCATAGCAAAGTTCAAGGAGCCAGCTCACGCGTTAGCATTTCAGCAGAAATTCCACAGGTAACCCCGGGTGCCAGGCGTGGGGGGCTCCCCATGGGCCTGCTCTGTCCAAGGAGCTAGATGTTGGCCCATCACCATGGAGACAGACCTGGGGTACGGAAGAGGGCGCCGCTGGGCTCCTCTCTGTGCTCTGCTGGGGTGTGGGCTCGGCGCGCTGCTGACCGTGCTCTACGTCCGCAGGCACATGATAGACCTGTCCCACATAAACGTGGCGCTGATTGTCGAGTGACTTCTCACAGGAGCGCTGACTTCACACCGCACCCTCACCGTGGAACTTCTTCACGGAGCGGCCAGCGCAGTCCCCGAGAGCCCCGGCCTCCCCCTTGGCGGTCTGGCGTGACTGTTGCCCGTGGCGCCGGCCAGCCCGCGTGGATCCCGGGAGAGCTGGACTCGCGGACGTGGAGACTGGAGCTTGCTGTTTGGTTGCTCCAGGGTCCGTCGTTGCCACAAAGAACTACAGTTTTCGTTTCCTTTTGTTTTCAAAGTGCGTACGGTGCATGTGGACGTGGTTCTCGTTACCTTGCTGTACGGTCGGTCACAGTGACTTAGAGTCAGGAAGAACATTAACGCCACAAATTCCAGGTCTTTTTCACAGCAAAGAATATTTGATAATGGTTGCACTTATCTTCAGTGCAGGCTAGGCCAGCGTGCTCTCTGCCACGCCCACTTGTGCTGTCGCCTCGGAAAGCTCTGAGAGGCTCCTGTACAAACCTAGATTCAGCCCCGGGCGGCGGGCAGACAGGTGCGTGCCCGGCGCGAGCAGGGTGAGGGTGGTGGGCCTGGTGCCAGTGTGGCCGATTCTGCTTCTTGCAAAGATTCCAAAAGCACCGACGGTATCTCGTTCCCTCCCCCTTACCCTCTGCCCTGGCAGCAGACATGCTGGCGGGTACCCATACTGCCCGGGGCCTGGATGGGCTGTGGCCACCCCCAGGCCGGGAGACCCGCCCCGCTTTAACAGAGCCCCCGGGTTCCTCGTCCATGTAGCCGCGGTGGCGACTTACCAGCTCTGGGTGTAGGCGCTCTGGAGCTGGTGACCCCGGCTTTGATGGCTTTTTCTAAAGGCCTTTGGACAGGGGCTGTGCTGCCCGTCGGCGGACCTCGGGAAGGTGATGGTGGTTCTGGCATGCGCTCTGGCTCGGGGCGAGGCACGGCTGTCTTAGAGGGACAGTGAGGCCCACCGGGAAGGGTGTCCGTGTCGCCTGTGCACTGCTCTCTAATTCCAGGTAGGCTCCTGAGGTGAGACACTTGGTCCCCGTGAGACAGCTTTCACTAGCACTCCCTCCAGGCCAGCTTTGGGAAAGTGCCTTATTAGTAGTGCTCGTGGGGGGCACCGTTTTGGATTTACTCTAACGGGGACCTGCGCTGTGTAAGCATGTGGTGCAGGCTACTCCGGCTGGGTAGTAGCTACGTTTTATACCTAAATGCTCACGTCAGATTCATAGGATTAAGGGAAGTCGGGGCCTAGCGGCTCCGCCCTGGTGAGCCAGCGGAAATGGGCGGGGCCGGGACCCTCCCCACCAGGCGTGCTCTGTGGCCTGTAGCCGCCGTGGGTGCTCAGCCAGGGCGTGAGCGCTGTCTCCTGGTTCTTACAGAGACCGGAGCTTGCCTTTCACAGGCAGGCCCCCTCCGTGACCTGGACGGCCCTGTGGGTCACACAGCGCACCTGGGCGGAGACGGTGGCACTGGGTGGCACACTGCCCGGATTCTGGTTCCAGGAACCCAAAGGTGCCGCCCACCTCTCCTGCAGGCAGAGCGGACGCATCCCTGTCTCCAGGGGCCGTGTCATGGCTCGGTCCCCAGAAGCGACGCGGTGGCGGCCGCGAGCTCGGGTGAGTGCCATGCCGCCCTCTGCGCACGCCCACCGGGCTCGTGACCCCTGAGGGGCCTGACGCACAAAATGAGTAACAGGTTTTTACAAACTCACTCCAAAAGAGGCTTTGTGTGGCGGCTTTGAAACCAAAAATCTGCATGTTGTCTCTGAGAAGCGGGCGTTTCAGCATCTCCTCTTCTAGCTAGTGGTGGTGAGCGAGGCCCACCCGGGCGCCCCGCTCACGCCCCAGGCCCCGTGGCCACCTCCGGGTCTGAGATAACCGGGGTGTCAGGAACGTGGAAGCCGTGACGCCCACGCACACGCCAGCAGGCTCTCCGGAGCGCCCCGCGGGCCCCCACGCTCACCTGACGTGGGTGCTGCCGGGACCCATCAGTCCCGGCCACAGGGCGGGTTTCCTGGAAGGAAACTGCGGGCGACAGGGGCAGGACCAGCTGCGCCATCCCGTCCCCTGCGCTTCTCGAGGCGAGGGCAGACCCGAGCCGAACCCTCCGGGAAGATCTGTTGCAACCATTATCTTTGTTCTTTCCTCACCATGCAGTTCAGGCGAGACGCAGGCGCATTTAGCACACGCTGTAAATAGGGACCTTTTACAATTAAAACGTTACTGGAATTGCTGTCCGCTCCGGCGCCGCCGCGCCTTGTTGTTCTTTCCTGCTGCCCCTCACGGAGACTGGCCGGGCCGTTGTATTGTGTGTGTTCGACTTTGATAAAGATGGCGGAAGCCAACACGCTCGCCCTGACCTGTGTATTCTTTGTCCCCAAGCTGAGGAGCCTGAGCTCGGGGACCGTGGGGGCCCGGCCCGCGCTCTGTACTGTACGGCGCCGCCGCAGCCTGCGGGGCCGCGCGGCCGGGCCCTCTCCGGGCACCCCCTCTTCCCGATAACCGATGTTGGGGCCCCCTCTGGACAGGTGGCGTGTGGCTAGCCCCTCGGGGCGGGGGGAGGCCGCACGTAGCTTCTTCGGGGTCGCCTTCCTCGCGATTGTAAAGGCCCGCCGCCTGCCTCCCTGGCGTCCTGCCCCGGCGGGCGGCTCCGCCCCGGCCTCTTTTCCAGCAGCACTGGGCTCCGTTCTAACAGCAGCTTCTGTCGGCAGCGGGGGGCCGGGAGAGGGGGGCGGGCGGGGGCCAGGAGGGCCGCGAGGAGCCGCGGGCGCGTCGGCCGCCTCATGGCGCAGGGGCTCGCGCGGCGCTGGCGGCGGAGGGGCCTGGCACCCGGGCTGGGCCTCCTCGCCGGGCGGCCCGTCCGCCTGTGGCTGCTCGTCCTTGCTTTTGTCGTTTGCTCTTCTGTTGTGTTCTGTTCCATTTCTTTGTTGTTTAATCGGAAAGGTAAGCTCGGCGCGTCGAGGCCTCTGGGCTGGCCGCGGGGGCAGTCAGGTCGAGGCCGTGTGGTCGCGAGAGGCCCCCGGACGCGCTCTGTGCCGCAGGGCCGAGACGCCCCCGGCCGCCTCCGAGCCCTCTCGCGGAGCGAGCGACCGCACCCCGACGGCCTCGGGCCCCTCGGCCCTGCTCCCACCGTCCTCCAGGCAGCCCCGCCCCGGGTCTGTCTGTCTGTCTGGACGGCAGCTGGGGAAGGGACTTGGAGGGCAGTCGGTTCTTCCCAAGCGCAGGTGACGATTCTCGGAGGCGCCTCGGCCGGGCGCGGCCGCGCTGGCTGTATTCCGGAGCATCTCCGCTGTCTTCCAGGCGGCCGATGCTCCGGACCGTGAACTCTGCCGAGGCGTCTAGCCTTGACCTATTATTAAATCCTAAGGATTTTGTGTAAGGTTCTTCGACCTATTCCAAGTGCCTGACTCGTCAGGCGGTAAGCCGTGGTTTGTGCGCTCGAATCCCAGCCAAACCCGCCGATTCATATTGGATCCCAGGTACGCCCGCGCTGCCGGGAGGGTGCCCGCCCCGCGGAGGGTGTGAGGCCGGCCTCGGCCCGCGCGGGCTGCCGCCGCAGGGGGCGGCAGGTAGGGCAGGCGCTCGGTGAGAGATGGCTCTTCCCTGCGGCTTCCCGCCCGTAGCGCGTGCAGCGGTCTCGTGCTGGCGCGTTGCTTTGTTTGACTTGGCTGCTCTTGAAAGGTATGTGGCAGGAGGCAGGCCCTGTAAAGAAACGTTCGTTCAGAATGTTAACGCGTTCCACCAAGTGGACAGACGTGCTTTCCCGCGTGCCCTGTGTGTGGCACCTAGTGTGCTCCGGACAGTGGCCCCGCGCCCCGGCGTCCAGGTGTGCGCTCAGGCCGCCCCCGCGCCGGCGCGTCCTCCTAACCCGCTTGCTCTCCGCAGGTGCCGTCCGGCCGTCTCCTCTGCGAGGACACTAATGCCGAGGCTTGTTCCCGTTCAGTTTCCAGGTTCCGCAGCCCCGGGGGCCCGAACCCGCACCGTCTGCGCGTCTCCCTGGGCCTCGGCCGCCCTCCCCTGGCACTGCCGCCCTCGGCGCTGGACGCGCGTCTGGAGCCCCCCTCCCCCCCTCTTTCAGCAGGCCCTGCCGCCCCGCGCGGGCACCGAGCGCTGCCGCTGTCTGCGCCCCGTTCCCGCTAACCCTTTGCTTTGACAGGTGCCCCACCCGTGACTTCTTCCCGCAGGTCGGGGCCGCTGAGAGTAACGCCGGGACCCCGTCGTCTTGCAGCTGGCTGCGGGCGGGCGGCCCCGGAGCGGCCGCGGCGGTGATTAACGCCTCTGTTTGTCCTCCACTTTGCAGGCTCTGTGCATGGGTCATGTTAGTGTAGCCCCGTCCCCGCGGAGGCGCCGGGTGTCCCTTGTCACGGTCTCGCTGGCTGTGGCCTCCTAACTAATGCGCACGCGCTGTGCCAGCCGGTCTGGGCAGCTGTGACGAGAGGCAGGATTCCAGAGATGGCTGAGGTGCTTTCCTCGGGGTTGACTGCTTCGTGTTCCTGCCCCACACGCTGGGGGGACGCTGCCGACCTGTGTGTCCGTTCTCCCCTCGCCGTAGCCACTGTGACAACATGACGGGAAAGGTTGTGACGCGCACTAGCGACGTAGTTGCGATGTACTGTGTGTAGCATGTGTGACCCTGTGGAGATGTGCTCCGAACTGTACTGTAACCTGACGCTGTGTAATAAAGCTCCCTGCCGTTGCACCCGTGTCCGTGGCCTCCTTGTCTCTCGCGCCGGTCACGCACCTGAGCCGCGGGCGGCGGCCTCCCAGGACTCCGGGGCCCTTGGCGGCGGCGCCCACATGGCGGGGCACTGTGGGCCACGTCTCTGACGCCCCCACGCATCCCAGACCGCTGTGCGAGCTCCCGCGGGAGACGTGTGCCCGCGCTCCTGGCCCGCAGCGGACGCGGCTCCTGGGGAGGCCCCCTTTCCTGGAGGGGCAGCCCGGGGCCCACACCAGCTGGCCGTGGTGACAGCTCCCCTGGCCCGCTCCCTGGGATGTCTCTCTGGGGTCACCAGCTCCCCACGGGGAAGGACCCGGGGCTGTGCCGCTGCTGGCTCTCCGGAGGTGGTGTCGGGCGGGAGACACCGTCCGTGTCCCCATGGCTGGGTGTCCACCACAGGCCTCCAGGTCACAGTGTGTCCCCAGGATACAGCAGGCACGAGGCCCCGGCACCCTCTACCATGTTCTGGGGAAGGGCCCCCGCGGTGTCCCAAGTGGGGATGCAAAGGCAAGAGGAGAGACCTTCTGGGGGGGCCAGAGGAGGAAGCACGAGGCAGGCGTCCGTGGGTTTCTTGGAGCTGGTTCAGGTACACGGAGCGTGCACGGGCCTGGAAGGGGCCAGCGAGAGGCCTGGAGGGCGCTCCTGCCCTCCCAGGCGGGGGCTGGCGGGGTTCAGCGGGGACTTGGCCCCTGCAGGCAGCAGCTCATCTCCATGCTTCTGCCCGCACGTCCCTGGCCAGCACTGGGGTTGGTTGATGGCCTCCCGGTCCCTCCATTGCCGCCCCCCGGCTCCTGCCCCATCCATGGCCTTGCCTCGAGTCACCAGACAGGTGCCCCATGGGTCTGCCCCACCCCGGGCAGGCGGCCAGAGTCCCCTGCTAAACTCCCCCCAGACCCCCACCCCATCACCCTGGCCGCCGGAGGCACTGCGGCCTCAGACCCCAAAGGAGCAGACAGTGGCGACAGGACTTGGCTGATGAGGTACACGCCGGAACGTTCTAGAATGATGGTTTCGGAGCCTGGCAGCCGGCCGGCGATGGGTTCTCCGGTGTCCGTGCTGCGTCGGCCTCACAGCTCCGCCAGCCAGCAGGAGGGGCTGCAGCGTCGGGGCTGCTTGGCGGGGCCTCAGCCTCAGCACCCCTGGGGGAGAGGAGGCCTCAGTGCGCCTGCAGACCCGGCCCTCCCGGGCCTCCCAGGCAGCGCGTGGGCGCTCCGGGTCAGGGCCTCGCCGCCCGCGCCCCGTCGCCCGGGCGCGGCCTCGGCGCTGGGTGCTCTCAGCATGGAGCAGGGCCGTGCTGCCCCGGGCGCCCTCTCTCAGCCCTGGCAGAGTCGGCAGCTCCGGCCCCGCTCCAGGCCGCCGGGCCCGCGGGCTGGGGCGGCCCCTCGCAAGGGCCTGCCCCGAGGCGTCTCCGAAGACTCGGAAACCGCCCGTGGCCCACCCGGGTCGGAAGGGCCCCCTTTGGGTGAGAACTGCACATCGAGTTCACTGAGGGCTGACGGGTGCCCCCCCCAACCCCGGGAGCCCCGCACCCATCTCACCGGTGTCAGGGCTCCGCCCCGGGGCGCCCCGTCACTTCCGGGGCTGAGACCATCTCGGGTGGGGGTGCCGCCGCCGCTTCCTGGGCTCCAAGGCGGTGGCCGGGCGGGCAGGCCTGCCCCTCCGGCCCGGTTCCCGGAGCCCGCTGCGGAAGCCCCGGCAGAGGGCGCTCCGGTGACGCGAGAGTCGGGCCAGCCTCTCCCGGGCCCGGTCCCAGCAGGGCTCGGGCGGGCAGGCGGGCACGCTGGGAGAGCCGCGTCGCTGGAGGGGTCTCAGGCACCCAGCGGGGCGCCGAGGTCGACGGCCGGGGCCCTGTCTGCCCTGCCCGTCTCCTCCAGGCGCCAGGCCCACAGGTGGCACCCTCTGCCCGGGGCTCCCGCGGGAGGGAAGACGGCCCCAGGGCAGAGTTGAGGGTCCTCACCCTTGGGTCCTGGGCCCCAGTCTGCTCCCTCGCAGCCCCTCTCCCCCGCTCCGGCTGTCCCAGCCACGGCCCGGCCTCCCCCACGGGCCGGCCAGGCCCACCCAGAACTCTGCGGGCGCTGCAGAGGCTCCTCCCGCGCCGTCCGCCTCCGGAGCCTGGGGGTCAAGGCTCCCGCCCAGGCGCTGCGCTGGACCCGGCTGCAGATCTGGCGTCAGGACCTGGTGTCAGGGCCTCCTCCAGGCGGGCCCACAGGGCCCCTGTGACCCGGCTGCAAGAGAGCCGCTGGGGCAGCTGGGGAGCGCCAGGCCTGGGCAGGGCCTCCGAGGGGCCTTCTGGGGTGGCTGCAGGCCCCCCTGGGGTGCCTCCTGCCCGAGACAGCCTGCTCCGTGCCCGGCGCTCTCGCGGGGCGAAATCCCAAGGCCCCTGCCCAACCCGCAGGGCCGGACGAGCAGCGGGACGGGCCGGGAGGGGGGCGCGTCGGCCGGTGCCTTGGGCCGGCGGGGCTGCGGGGCTGCGGCGGGCCCGGGTCTGCCACGCGGACCGGCCGAGGGGCGTCGGGGCGCGCGGGGAGCTCTGGCTCGCCCTGGCAGCGGGGCGCGGGGCGCGGGGGCCCGCGGCCTGGGGTGAGACCGGCGGCCCCCAGGATTCCTGGGGCTTGGGGTGCCGCCTTCCCCCCAGGACCGGGCTCTGCCCGCCACCGGCAGCCACTGCCTCGGCCCGCGGGGCCGCTGCCCCCGGAGCCCGGGCGTCTGGGCGCCGCGTCGCGGGGTGGCTGGGGAGGCCGCCCGCGCCCGCCTGGCCCTGCCCGCTCCGAGGGGCCCGGCCGGTCGGGCTCGGCCCGGTCGGCGAGGGGGGCCCGGCCGCCCCAGCCCCGCGCCTGGGCCTCCGTCTCCCCGCTCCGCGCGCCCGCGCCCCGGCCGCGCCCCCGCAGCTGCCGCGAGCGCGGGTCCGGCGGGGGAGGCCGAGAGGACCCCGCGCCAGCGCGGGCGGAGGGGCTGCCTGAGCCCCGGGGGGCCGGCCCCGCCCCTCCGGGGGCTTCCCGCGGGCGCCCACCCGATTCTCGAGGCTCTGGACGCGGGGCCCCTTCCCGCCCCAGTGCTGGGGGCGCCCCGGGCGGGAGGGGCGGGGCCCGTGGGCGGGCCCGGGTGGGCGGGGTGGCGGGCCCGGGTGGGGGCGGGGCCCGGGTGGGCGGGGCCGTGGCGGGCCCGGGTGGGCGGGGCGGGGCCCGGGTGGGCGGGGCGGGGCCCGGGTGGGCGGGGCCGGGCCGGGCGGGCCGCCAGGTTCCCGGCCGGGGCGCCCTCCCCGGCGGCCGGCAGAGGGCGCGCGCGCTCCACGCAGCTCCGGCCGCGCCGCGGGCGGGCGGGGCCGACAGGCCGGAGGCGCCGCGGACAGGGCGGGAGCTGGGCCGGGACCGCGCCCCGGGCGATGCCGGGGCCTCCGCTCCCAGCCGCCTTTTGCGCCGGCCGCCGGGGACAGCGGGCGGCGGGCGGCGGGCGGCGGCTCCGGGCCTGCGGCTCCCGCCCTGCCCTGCCCTGCAGGCGCCGGCCCCGGGCGCGGGCGGAGCGGGCCGGGCCGGGCCGGGCCGGGCAGGCCGGAGTGCGCTGCCGGCGTGGGAGCCCCCGGCCCGGCCCGGCCCGCAGCCCCCAGAGCGACGCAGCCTCAGGGCCGGGAGCAGGCCGGCGCCCGGGGGGCCGGGAGGGCCAGGGCGCCCGGGGGCGCTGAGCCGGGCTCGGAGAGGGGCCCGCGCCCCCAGGGCCCGGGCGCGGCGGCCCCAGGCGGCAGCAGGTCCGACTTGCAGGCCCAGGTCCCCGGGCCTTGACCCTCCTTCTGGGCCGTGCCCGAGGGCCCCACGGTCCTGCCCGGCTCCGCGGGCTCTGCTGCCGGCGCGGGGCAGGCCTGGCTGGACGCTCCTCGCACATCTCAGGCTGGTTCCGCCACCGCTGAAACACCCCGAGCCCCCCGCGCCCTGGGAGGGGACTCAGGGGGGCCGGGGTGGGGCTGGCGAGGGCGCCGCCGTCCCCCAGGCCCTCGCCCTGGACACACGGGCCACCGGGACGCCCGGGCCTCTGACCCGACTCCCGCCCTGGCTCAGCGTCCAGGTGGACCCCGGGCACAGCCGTGTGTTCCAGCGGCCGCCGGGCGCATCGTCCTCGCCCTGCGACTCCTGTGCTGAAAACGTGCAGTGCCCGCGTTGCCCTCATCGGAGGGGCTCGAGCTCGCCCGTGGGGCGGGCAGGTGCTCCCGCCAGGTGTTCTGCGGGTGCTCCCACGGGCGGGGCGGGGCCACCCACCCAGCCCCCTGCGCGCCACAGCCCGCTCGCTCCCACCTTGCCGGCAGCTTTCCACGGTCGGCTGTGCCCGGCTCAGGGCTGGTAACCCGTCTCCCTGCGCCCCGCCCGCCCCCACGGCTCCTGGCCAGGATGGGGTGCACGGGTGGGTGAGCCTTTGAATTTCAGGTGAACATTTGCTGGGGCAGTAAACGCAGCACTGTGCTCACCCCCGGGTCCCAGCCCCCCGCTTCTGTGGACCCCGGGGCCCTGACTCCAGCCCCACTACCCTGAGCTCAGCCTCTGCGTGACACCCCGGGCTGGGGCCGGCCCAGTGCTTCTGTCAAGACAGGATTTCAGGCTCTGCAGCCGCCCGGGCTGGGCCGAGGTGGCCGGCCCCGGGGCTCCGCTGACCGCCTGAGCGGGCAGGGTCCCGGCGATGGACGCTGAGGGCTGGTGCCGGGCAGCCTTCCCCGCCGTGCACGACCTTCCTTCCCGAGGCTCTGCCCAGCCACTTAAAAATGTAAAAGAAAACCGCCTTGGGTAAGCCCAGGAAAGTGGGGGTTTGTGCGGGGGGCCCCGCCGCCCCGTCAGCAGAGGGCAGGGGGAGCCAGTGCCTGAGGTGACAGAAGCCACTTCCTGGCCTCGTAAGGCCCTGGCGCAGGGGTCTTTCCGGAAGGATGGGCCTTCCTGGCCATCGGAGAAGAGGGAGCAGGGGTGGCCTCCCTGGCCCTGCAGACGAGCCCTTGTCGCTTTCTCGCTGAATCTTGCGGCCCGTTGCCGTTCTTTGCACATCTGCCCAACATTTTCCATGTGGGTGTGATGCCCACAGCACAGGGGCTGGCAGGAGGGGGGCTGGCAACCCCTGGCCCCTCCAGCCCCGCCAGCGGCCTCCAGTGTGCCACTCCCGTGTGAAAACTCCCAGTGTCCACCCGCCCACGGAGGCCGAGCCTGGCTCTGCAACCAACCGCGCAGGCAGGGGTGGCACAGGCAGGGGTGGCGGTTGGCACAGGCCCGACCAGGGAGCCTCGTGACTCCACCCGACCAGACCGCGGCCCCAGACAACGGGCCACGGCGACTGGTCCAGGCTCGTGGGCACCGCCAGCGCTGCTCCTGAGGGGCTGGTGGACACCAGGACACAGGCAGTGGCCCTCGGGCAGTGCCAGAGGCTGGAGCGGGGACCCCGCCCCTGGGGGCGGCCTGCAACTCACATCCCAGCAAAATGGCTCCCTGTGTTGCTCATGGACAAAGAGGATTTTTGATTAAAGCTGGGAATGGACCTTGAAAAGTGGGGCGGGGGGGGACTGGGGGCAAAAGAGGCCGGGATGCAGCCCCCAGCGCTGGCAGGGCACAGGTGCACTGACCGTGGGCCAGGCAGGGGCCTATCCCCAGGCTCTGGCCACAGGCGGCCACTCGCACAGCCTGGTCCAGGTGGCAGAACAGGAGGTGCCCGCTCCATGCGCTGTGGACTTGAAGCTGCTGCCCACCAGGAGGCCACACAGACGCTCGCAGAGGGCAGCTCCGGGGGGCAGGTCTTGCCCCACCACAAAGGGCAGCCGGGAAGAGCCACACGTCCACCTCAGCTCAGCCGCTCCCAGGCCAGCGTTCCCACCGTGGGCAGCACCAGTGGGCTCAGCCAGGAGTGGCTTCTCTGGGCCCTGCCCAGCTGGACAGAGACCTGCACAAGCCAGGGGTTCAGCTCTGCCGCCCCAAATGCAGACTGGCATCCAACAGGTTTCACCTGTGAGAGGCCAGGTCCAGGCGGTGCCCCTTCCCCGGCATCCAGCCTGTGGGGCCGGCACAGGGCACCACCTGCCAGGAGCTGCGTGGCTTAGGGTGCTGGTCAGGGCAGCCAGTGTGGGGTCTCTGCTCCAGACCAGGCAGGGGCTCAGGGAGCCCACAAGCAAGGCTGCACCCCAAGGGTGAAGGTCCCCCTGAAACATGGCCTCAGGCGGACTTCTGGGGCTTGGAGACACCGGAGCGGCCGTGGCCGGCTCCCTGGACTCGAGCAGCTGCGATGGCAGAGGAGGCAGGCGGCCCCATGTGACCCCCGAGGCACCTGCTGGGGGCCCAGGGCACCCCGAGACAAGCGCTTGTGAGGCTCAGATGTGAACACCTGGACCTGTCCTCGGGGACCCCTCTGAAAAGGGCACCCCGGGATTTAGAAAGCAGCTGGCCCCCGCTCCCGTTGGGGCCCAGCACCCACCCTGGGGTGGCCAGGCCTAGGAGCAAGGTCCTCACCAGGTCCAGGGTGCGTGGAGAAAGTTTGGGAGAATGTCCCCCCGCTTCGGCCGCCAAGTTGGGTGCTCCTTGAGGGGTGGGCTGGGAGCGGCGCCCTCCACAGCCCCTGGCCCAGGGAGCCCGGGAGACGGTCACGCGGGGACGCAGACAGCGGAGGCCTGGCCGAGGCGGCGGGAGGGGGCGCCGCTCTGGGTGGGGTTCACAGCTTAAGCGGCACGTGTGAGTGTCATTCCGGGGCGTCCTGTCGACGCCAGACTCCAAACCAAGAAGCCTCAAGGCAGAAGGCGGCGGGCCGGACAGGGGCTCCGAGTTCCACGTACTGACCAGGCTGTGGCGGCACCGTTTATTTCTATAAAACTATTACAAAATATTCAAAAATACATTTTAGTAAATTTACAGCAGTTATTTCTCGATTTATTAATGCAAAACATCCTTTGTTTTTCTCTGTACAAACTACAGGCCCCGCCCTCACGGGCTGCTCACTATCTGCACTTTTTAAAAAATATTATTTTCTAATAAATTCTTCAAAGTTAAAAATAAGAGTTTTTCCAGTTTGTCCCCCGAAAAAGTGTGTGAGAGAGAGACGGCGGCGGCCTGGGCCCGGGGGGAGAGGCCGGGCGGGCGGGGCAGGCAGGACGCGCGGGCGCTGTTAGACTGGGCGCTAGTTAAATTAAAATAATATATTTTCATATTTTACACTATTTCAAAAATGAAATGTAATTCAGTTAAGTATTGATCTCTCAAAAAATCTAAATTTACAATTCTGTGTATAAAAATATAATTTGTGGACCCCGTCGAGCGTGTCGGTCTACACTGGCAGAAGCGGGGCGGGGCGGGGCGGGGGGGGGGGGGGGGGGGGCGCGGACGAGGGCGGCGGCCCGGGCACGGGTCACGTGGTAACAATAAATTATCCAGGAAACAAGCTGGTTAAGGCTCCGCAGGTCCGGGTCGTCTTATTAAACATCTATTCAGACCAGACAAATAAATAGCCGGGGCGGCGGGGCGGGGCGGGGCGGGGCGCGGCCGGGACGTCCCCAGACAGCCCGCCGGCGCCCGGGGTCCCCGCCGCCCCCGCGCCCGCGCGCCTCAGCTGGCCGGGCCCGCCATGCCCAGCGGGTGCAGGGCCTCGCCGTCCAGCAGCCAGGTGCCCAGGCGGTAGAGCAGCCGCGAGTACCAGTGGACGCCCGCGGCCGGCGCCTCGGCCGCGCCCCGCGCCCCCGCCGCCCCGCGCCCCGCGCCCCCCGCGCCCCCCGCGCCGCGGTCCGAGCGCGCGGGCGCCAGCGCGGCCAGGAGCGCGTGCGCCAGGCGGAAGGGCGCGAAGGCGCGGTGCGCCCAGCTGTGCTCCTCGATGACCGCGTAGCACGACGCCAGCACCCGGTTGATGAGGATGGTGCCCTGCGCCGTGAGCGGCGCGTACGCGCCCGCCGCCTCGCGCGTGGTCACGCTGTGCACCGCGGCGGGCAGCAGCCGCCGGCCCCCGCCGCGCTCGGCCACCACGTACACGCGCTGGCCCGGGCGCACGCGGCTGGCGAAGAGCGCCCCCGGCCCCCCCGGCCCCGCCGGCCCCCCGGGCGCGCCCGGCTCCGCGGCCGCCGAGTCGTTGTGCGGCGCCACGAAGAGCAGGTGCGCGGCGGTGAGCAGCAGGCGCTCGCGCGGCTCCCGCGTCTCGATCACGTAGAAGACCTTGGTGGCGCCGTCGTCGCGGTCCAGGAAGGCCAGGAAGTCGCTGTAGAGCAGCCGGCCCTGCTCGTCGGCCGCCAGCACGCGGTCCCCGGGGCGCAGCTCGCGCACCGGCTTCGTGCCGCCCTGCTCCAGCTGCACCGTGGCCGAGCCGGGGAAGCAGCCGCCCGACTTGGCCGCCACCGAGTTCTCTGCGGGGAGAGGGGGAGCGTGAGGCCGGGGCGCGGCCGGACCCCCGCCGCCGCCCGCGCCCCCCGCGCCCCCCGCGCGCCGCCCCGCCCCGCCCCCTCGCGGGCCGGTCGCCCTCCCCTCGGGCCCGCGAGAGCCCCCGGCGCCCCCGCCCCGAGGTGCGGGGCCCGCCGCGGGGGCCCCCGTCAACCCCGCTGCGCCCCCCGGCGCCGCCCGGGCGGCCCGGCCGCGGCGGGCGACGCGCTTGGGAGCGGGGACCCCGCGTCGCCCCGTCCCTGCGCGCGTCGCCCCCGCCGCGGGGCCGCCCCTCCCTGTTTGCTCAGGTGCGCCCGCCCCGCGGCGGCCCCGGCGGCCCCCCAGGCGCTGTTTGCTCAGCCCGGCCGCTCCCGCTCTCGAGGGCGCATTTGAATTTGAAACGGCGAGGCCTGCGCGCGCGGGGCGGCTCCCGGGCCCCGCCGCGCTCCCCCGGCCCCCGCGCCCGCCCGGCCGCCGCGGACAACAATCGCCGCCGGGAGCGGGGCCGGGCCGGGGGAGGGGCGCCCCGCTCCTCCGCATTCCAATCCCCGGATCAGGCCTCGGCAAACAAGCCGGAGAAAGCGCCTCCCGGCCAGCGCGGCCTTAATCTCCTCATTGGCTGCTCCGGCATGAAGTGCGGCCCGGCCTCGGGGCCGGAATGCGGCCGGCGCTGCCCGCCCGGGGCGTCCGCTCGCACGACCCGGCCCGGCCCGGCCCGGCCCGGCCCGGCCCCGCGCCCCTGCCGCGCCCCTGCCGCGCCCCTGCCCGCGCGCGGAATGCCGAGGAGCGCCCGCCGCCCGCCCCCCGCCGCCAGGCCAGGGCGCCGCTCCCGGCCAGAGGGCCTCGGGGGACCCGCCGCGCAGGGCGCCCCCCCTCCCGCCGCCCGGGGCGCCCTGGGGAGGGGGCGCTGCAGGCGGGAGCAGCCCGCGCTCCGACCCCCGCCGTGGCCGCCACAGCCACAACTTCCCTCACCTGCCCAGGTGCCGGCCACCTCCAGGCGCCCCCCGCGCGCCGCCGAGACGCGGAGCGGGAGGCGCACCCCGGCAGGGCGCGGCGCGGGCGCCGGGCCCCGGATTCGCGGGGAACCCCTTGCTAACCGCGCGGCCTCCACCCCGGCGCCCCAGCTCCCGCCGCGGTTCCCCCCGAGGCCTCCGGGTGGCGCTGCGGGCCCGCGGAGCCTCCGCCCAGCTGCGCGCCCGCCCCGGCGGCCCGGCCTGGCCGGCGGCTGATGGGGCGACGCGCGCGGCCCGCGGCCGCCACAGGCGAGGGTGCCGCGGCCACTGCCGCTGCCCGGCCGCGCCCCTGGGCTTGGCCCGAGGGCCAGTCGGGCAGCACCCGCGCGCCCGGCGGGGAGGGGACGCGCCCGGGGTTGCGCCGTAGCCAGAAGCCCCCGAGGCGGCGGACGGGGGGCTCAGGGGCCGCTGATGCCTGAACCGCAAGCGAGAGCGGGGTCTGGGCCCGGCCCGGCCCACCCGCCTGCAGGCCTCCCCGGAGGGGCCCCTCCTGTCTCTGCCACCCGCGGGGTGCGGGGCCTCGGGCGGCCGGCAGGGCAGGCCGGGCTGCGGCCGGGACGAAACGCGCCCCCCAGCCCCCGCGCGGCGGGCCTCACCGGCCTTCACGGAGCAGTGGATGTGCGCCTTGGACTCGTAGTACACCCAGTCGAAGCCGGCCTCCACGGCCAGGCGCGCCAGCATGCCGTACTTGCTGCGGTCGCGGTCCGACGTGGTGATGTCCACGGCGCGGCCCTCGTAGTGCAGCGACTCCTCCGAGTGGTGGCCGTCCTCGTCCCAGCCCTCGGTCACGCGCAGCTTCACGCCGGGCCACTGGTTCATCACGGAGATGGCCAGGGCGTTCAGCTTGTCCTTGCACCTCTGCGGAGACACGGGCGCTGGACGTGAGGCCGCGCGGGCCGGGACGCTGGGCAGGGCCTCGGCGGGGCAGCCGCGCGCGGGGCGGCCCTGCGGGACGGGGCACCCCTGCGCCCGGGCCTCTGGGCGACAAAGGGGCCTTTTCCCAAATTCCCGCGCGGCGCGGAGCCCCGGGAAGTGCAGCCCCGCGCCCGGGCCGTCCAGGTCCCACCCCCCTGCGGCTCTTTCTCCCCCGCGCCCGCGCCCCCCTGGGCAAGCCTGGCCGGGCCGAGAGGCTCGCCGGGGTCTGCACGGGAAACGCGGCGCGGGGAGCTCCCCGGAGGAGGCGGCCTCGCGGCCCCGCTGCCCGCCCGCTGTGGGCCCGGCCGCGGAGGGGCGGGGGCGGCCGGACCGGGCCAGGTGAGCGCGCCGGCTGCGCCCCGACAAACGTTCTTTATCGGGGCCACATTCCTCCCCGTGGAACTTCCTCTGCGCGCTCCGCGGCCTGACGGTCTCCGGCTTCCCGCGCCCGCGCCCCCCGCCCCGCGCCCGGCCCGGGGCGTCCCGCGAGCCTCGAGAGCAAACTTAGGGGGGAGGAGGGTGGGGGAGGGACCCGAAGGCCGGAGCCGGGCGTCCTTCGCCTTTGTCCGCCGCCCCCCACACAAGCCGCCGGTGGGAGCAAAGCACCCCAGGAGGCAGCAGGGGCGTGGGGGCCGCAACCCGCGCGGGGGCTCCCGAGGGCCCGGAGGGGTGCGGGGGGGCAGCAGGGGCGAGGACCCCGCGGCGACGGCGCCCCGGAGGGCGGCCCCCCCAGGGACGGCTGCAGCCACGTCCCGGGCGCGCCAGGCGGGGCCGGCTCCGGGGGGCCGGGCGCCCCAGCCGGGGCCGCTCTCCCCAGGGTCGCCCTGCGAGGGTCCCCCGGGCGCGCCGCGCGCAGCGGGGGCGGCCGCGTGTCCCCGCGGCGGGAGCACCAGCGCGGCGCGCGGAGCCCAGCGGGGCCGGAGGGCCGGGGGCGGCCGGGGAACAGGTCGGCGCTCGCAGGCGTCGGCGCTGCCAACAGTTTCTTTCAGAAGGAGCCGGAGGGCGCCGCGGGGTGAGGTCATCGCGGAGCTGCACGCGCTGCTCACGGCCGTCCCCCCGCACCGGGGTCAGCGGCGCGGGCGAGCGGCCGGCTGCGCACGCGCACAGCGCAGACACGCGCCCCGCGCCCCGCGCCCCGCGCCTCGCCCCGGGAGGCTCCCGCCCGCGGCCCGCAGAGTGGCCGGAGGGGTGGCCAGAGGGCGCATCACCCGCCCGCGCCCCGCGCCGCGCCCCTGGGGCCCGAGGGGAGACCCCGGCGGGAGCCCAGGCCCGCGGGCAGGCGCGGAGCAGCGGCGGGAGCTGGCGCCCCCGGCCCACGCGCCCCCACCCCGGCCGCGCCGCGGCTGCAGGATGCGCGGGAAGCCGGGAAGCCCGGGCCGGGGGTCGGGCGCCGGGTCGTGTGCGCGGGCCAGGCCGCCCCGGCGCAGCCACCGTGAAGCCCCGCGGGGCGCCGGCCCGGCTTTGTGCCGCGAGGCCGGTGGTTCCCCTCGCCGGAGCCCCGCCGCCTCCCCGAATGCGCAGACGCCGCGCCCCGCGCGTGCAGGGCCGTGGCCGCCGCCGGCTGCGGGCGGGCTTCCCGGGGCCCGGAGGGCGCCCCAACTTCCCGAGTCCCCCCACCCGGCCCGAGCACGCCTCCCGCCAGGCTCCCTCCCTCGGAGCCGGCCCCGCCCGTGAGAGGGCGGAGACCCCCTCGAGCCCGCCGGGCCCGCCGGCCCCGCACACGCCCTCGACGCGCGGCCTCCTGCCCCGAGCCCCGGCGCCCGCACCGCGCCTGGCACCCGCGGCCCGCGCGGGAGAGCGTCTGTCTGCGCCTCCCCCTCTCCGAGTTAATATTAACCAGGAGCTCGCGCGTTCCAGAACTGCTCTCCAAGTTCCTCTGGGGACGACCTTGCCATGCTTGAGGGACTTGGGCGCAGTCACGCCGGGCGCCAGGGACGCGGAGACGGGGGACACCCGCCGGGGGAGGGGCCGCACCTGGGCCAGGTGGCTGTTTGAAATCGGGGCGGCAGGTGAGCGGGTCGGAGGCGCCCGAGCCCCCCGGGCCGGCCGCCCCGCGCCCCCCCAGCCCCCGGCCGGCCCCCGCCCTCGCCCCTCGCCCCGCTCGGGCGCGCAGAGGCCGCAGGCGCAGGCGGGACGGGAGGGGCGGCCACGGGCATCTTCCGGCCGCGCGCCCGCCACCCGCGGCTCGGACCCCGGCGGGGCCCCCGGCCCGCGCCGCCCCCGAGTGCCGGGCGCGGGACCAGCCGCCGCCCGAGGAGAAAGTATTTGTTTTGGTTTCGTCGTCCGAGAGGAGTTGGCGGGGGTCAGAAGTTCACCGGCTGCCCGCGCGCGCGGCGAGAGTGGCCGGCGCGGGGCCGCTGGGGGGCAGGGGCGCGGCCGGGGCTCCGGCGGGGCGCGGCGGGGGTGGGGGGCGCCCGCCTCGCGCCCCCGCGGGCGCCACCCCTCGCCGGGCCCGGGTGGCGGCCTCCGCGCTGCTCCCCCGGCCCCGCGGCGCTGGCGCGTGGAGGCGGCGCTGCCCAGCCCGCGCGCTGCGCCCGGCGCCGATCGATCGCGGGTGAGCGCGGCCGGGAGCGCCCGCCGGCCGCGCCTGGGCGCGCTCGCGGCTTCGCGCAGGTGGCGGGGCCGGGGCGCGGGCCAGGGGCGCCGGCCGGGCGCGGAGCCGGGCGCGGCGGCCCGCGCGGGCTCGGGCTCGGGTCGGCGCGTCCCCGCCCGCCGCTGCCCCCGCCGGGCCCTCCCCGCCGCGCCGCCGAGGCTGCCCGGGAGCCCCTCCCGCGGGGGCGAGCGCGGCGGGCGCGCGGGCCGGGCGGGCCAGACTCGCGGCGGCGGCCACCAGCGCCCGGCCCGGCCTGCGCGGGGACCCGAGGCTCGCGCCGCTGTGGGCTCAGGCGCGCGCGCGGCCGCTCTCGGGCCAGATTTAAGGTGGTCGGAGCGGGGGGCGCGCGGCGCGACCCGGACCTCCCGCCGCCGGCTCCCCTGCCCCGCGGCCGGCGCTGCCGGGCCGGGCCGGGCTGGGCCGGGCCGGGCCGGGCCGGGCCGGGCCGGGCCGAACGCGGCGCTGCGAGGGGCGGCCCCGCGCTCCGCCCCGCCGCCTGCACTTGCGCCGCCCGCGCGCTCGGCCGGGCGCGCTCCTGGCCCCGGGGGACTCGGTGCTTAATAGGGCAGCGGGGAGGCCGCTGACCTACATCGCGGGGAACCCGCCTCCAGCCCCGGCGGCGCGCGCGGGTCCCCGAAGCCGGCCCGGGCGGGGAGGCGGGCGGCCGGCGGCCTCGGCGAGGTGCGGCGCGAGAGGGCCGGGCGGGCCGCCCCTCCGTCCCGGCCCCCCAGTATCCGGCCGCTCCTAATTCCGAGGCGAGCAGGTAGGACGGGAGGGATGCGATGGCCGCGGGTTCAGTCCCGCCGAGGGCCGCGGCCGCCGAGCATCCTTAAAGGCGCACCCGGGCGGGCGCGGCGGCCGCGAGTCCCCGCAGCCCGGATGCGGCCTGCCCGCCGCCCTCCGGCCCCGCCTTTGTCAGAGCCGCCCGCGGGCTCCCCGGGGGTCCCCCCCCCGTCTGGGTGCGTGTGGCGCGGGAGGAAGCCAGGGGGGGCCGAGGTCCGGGCTCAGGCTGCGTCTGCACAGCGGCCACTTTGTGCTGCTGGGGCTGCTGCCCCCTCCATTTTAACAGGCAACTTGGAAAGGGCAGGCACCCCCAAAGTGAAGGGCTCCCCAAGTTCTGTGCCAGAGCCGTGGCGGGAGGGGGACGGCGTCCCCAAAGGGCAGATGGGGCCACCGGGACGCGGCTCCCACCGCCCTCACCCCGCCCCCACCCTAAACTTCTCCAAGTGGACCCTTCACCTCCACTGCGAGGGGGCCGGGGGAGAGGGAGGGAGCGGCCGTCGCCTCTATCTGCCGGCCGAGCAAACAGACGGGGTCGGGCGGGCGGGCGCCTGGGTACACATGCCCGGGACGCTCCCGCCCAGCTGGCTTCTACCTGAGTCATCAGCCGGTCGGCCCCGGTGTTCTCCTCGTCCTTAAATATGATGTCGGGGTTGTAGTTGGGGGTGAGCTCCTTAAACCGCTCCGAGTTCCTGGAGATCTTCCCCTCGTAGCGCCCGCTGGCCCCGAGCGTCTTCTCGGCCACGTTGGGGATGAACTGCTTGTAGGCTAAAGGGGTCAGCTTCTTGGGGTGCCGCCTCTTCCCAAATCCCCGGCCGGGTCCGCACGCCAGCCCCGGGCCCGCGAGCAGCAGCAGCAGCAGCCACCGCGCCGGCGGCAGCATGTCGTCCGGAGCCGGGACCGAGCGTCCCCGCGGGTCTGCGGGCGAGTGTGCGAGTGTGCGCGAGTGTGCGTGTGCCCCGCCGCCTGCCCGCGCTGCGCCCGCGCTCCCTTCTGCGCCTATATCACCCTGCCCGCCGCGGCGGGGGACGCGGCCCGGAGGACCCCCAGGCGGCCGGGGGCTGGCTCGGCAGGCTGCTGGGCGCCGGTAGCGGAACACATCGGAGTTGGGGCTGGCGGCCGCCGCAGAGACAAAAAGAGTCTGATTCTAGATGGGAGCGAGCCGGGCGCTGGAGCGCCGCGGCCGCCAGGGCTATATTATAGCTGGCAGGGGCGGAGCTGATTGGCCAGAGCCGCACCAGCTCGTCTTCTGATGTTTAACCCTAAAAAAGACTAAATTTTTTTTTCTGCGGCTGCTCTCGCTTTATTTCCACCTGAAGGCTTCGAGTTAAAAAAAAAACCTTTCCTGAGACAAAGGTGGGCGGGTGGGCGGGCGGCCGGGATGACATCAACGCTCCCCGCCCGCCCCCGCGGCTCGGAAGGGCCGGGGCTCCCGTCGCAGCAGCTGAAGTTTTTAAAGGACAGTGCGGACCCCCGGCCTCGGACCCCAAGCGGGTTCCTTCCCGGCCAGAGGGGCGCGCGGCCCGGCCTGGCTGAGAGGCGCCCCCAGACTTCACGGTGAAGGCCAGGTCTCCGCCTTGTAAAGAAAGAGGGGCCCGAGGCGCCCCCCGGCACGCCACCGCCCGGGACGTCCTCGCGCCGAGCATTGTTATCTGAAGTGCTTGGGAACTTGAAAATATCGTCCTCCATTGTGCTCCCAGGGGCTTTGTGTCCAGCCCGCCGAGGGGCTGCCCCTGCGCTGGGTGGGGGTGGGGGGGCTTTGGTGCTGCCCCTGCTCCGCTCCAGAGGGGCCCGCCTGGAGGGTGGAGGCCCGGGGTGCTGGGCTGGGCGCGGGCCGCGTGTACACACCACCCCATCCACCGGCAGAGCTAGGTGCAGCCTGGAAGGGCTGGAGGTGGAGGCCAGGCCCGTGAGCTGCTTGCCGCCGGGGCTGGGGCCTGGGCCCGCGGGACAGGCGCCCGGGGTGTTCTCCTCAGAGGGGGAGCCAAGGAGGGTGCCCCAGGGGAGGTCACAGAGGGCAGAGGCTGGGAGGCCGGTGTCCCAGGAAGAGACAGACAGACACACGGGTGAGTCCCATCTCCACCAGAGGAAGAGGCTCTGCAATCCCCCCTTGGGCAAGACATGCCTCTCCCCCTCTCCGCTCGTCTCACTCATCTAAAGTAAGGTTCTAGAACAAGGCGAGGGGGTGAGGGTCTTCCACAGGGGACCCCAATGCTGCCCGGGGCAGGATCAGCCCTGGAGCCTGCCTTGCGTGCCTGTGCCCGGCGCCCTGACCCCAGCCAGGCCGGGGAGGGGAGAGGCTGCATCTGACTCAGCCCTGAAAACAATGGGAGGGGCCTAGCTGTCCAGGCGAGCCCCTCTGCAGATCAACCCCTTGGGGGTCCTGCAGGGGGACACCCTAAGACCTGTCTAGCCTGGGCACTGCTGACGCCCAGCATTTTCCAGGCTCAGCCAAGCCCCCCACTGCAATGCTCCTGCAGGGAATGGGCAGCCGCCAACCTCCGGGCCTGTGGGAAAGCAGAGCCCAACTTTCTCAAGGCTCAGCAGACAGAGGGTCTCCCCTGGGGGTGCTGCAAGGTGGAGCCCGGAGGCGGGAAGTGTGCGCTGGTTGCGGCTCTGGCTTCCGTGCACTCCCCTGGAGGCAGAGCCTATGCAGGGGCCTGCATCTGGGAGGCTGCGCGCTGGAGGTGGGGAGCCGCAGCCCCGGGGATGGGGATGGAGCCTCTGGGCCGTGGGCTCCAGCAGGAGCCGCAGGGGAAAGGGTCGCACACCGGTGGCCAGCGACCCGGGCCCGGGCGCCAGAGTTGCGGCTGTGCGCGCAGAGGCAGCCTGGAGCGCGCCCAGGGCACGCGCCCCCCGCACGTGCAGGGATCTCGGGCCGCCGCGCGGGGCGCGCCGCTGGCGCTGGCGCTGGAGGAGCCGCGAGGCGCGGGCGGAGGCGCAGCTGGCGGGGGGAGGCGGGCGCGCCGGCTCTGGCAGGGAGGGCGCGCGCCTGGGCCCTGCGCTCCCGCCGCGGGGAGACCCCGAAGCCATCAGGCCGCCGCGCCCAGGACGGTGGGGACCGGCTCCCCTTTCATCCAGGGCCGGTGCCGACCACGCGGAGCCCGGCGGCCTCCCTCCCCGGCCGGCCCAGCCCCAGGACGGACACAAGGACAGACCCCACGACGCGCCGCTGACCCGGCTACCGAGGGCGGCTGGGGAGACCAGGGCAAAAACCAAGCGCAGTTTGGGCTTCACGCCCTAAACCAGGGCGCCACCCCAGGCACCCCAGAGGCTGAGACCTCGCCCCCCCTTCCGCTTCCTCCCAGCCCACCCCTCCCCACTTCCCAGACACCAGACTCGCTGTCTTCCACCTCCAGACACCAGATGGCTCCCTCTCTTTGCCTTTCCCCTCCAGACAATTGGGGCCCCGCCCCACCCGGTCAGCCTCCGCTGTGCCCCACAGGCGCGCGCGCCTCCCTGCAGCTCCCTCCCGATTCCTCTGGACGGGGCTGCCCGCTGCTCCCCGCGTCACCGCCTCCTTCCTCCGCGCCGCCAGCTCCTCCTCCGGCCTCCCCGCACCCCACAGGTGGCTGTGCCCCAGCCCCCCAGGTGCTCCCCAGCGCCCCGCTCCCCAGCGCCCCGCCACTAGATGGCCCCCTCACTCTGCCGTCCAGCTCCAGGGCTGGGCCCGGAATCCCAGCAGACCCGCCTGGGGAGCCCCCAGAAGCTGGGCCAGCCTCCCAGTGCCTGCTGCCCCGGCCCTCACCAGGTCACCCCTCCCCGCTTCCGGTTCTGACGCCCCAGCCAGGTGCTGGAGCTCGGCCCGCCCAGCCCCCACTGGGCCCGCTGGGGCTGGCATCCTCCGTCCTCTGCGGAGTCCCGGCCTCCGCCCGTCCTCGGGGTGCCCGGGTCTGCTCACCGCCCCCACCCACGCCTGCCCTGGCCCAGCTCCTGCCTCCGCCTGAGGGCCCCGCTGGTGGCTCCCGCGCCCGGTTCTCAGCAGAGCAGAGGCCCGGGAGGCAGGTGCCCGGCGAGGGGCCTGGCGTCCTCCTGGGCCGGCCACTCCGTAGGCCCTTTCATCCAGACGCGTCGCTCGGCCCCGATCTCGTGCTTTCGCAGCAAGCTTGTGGGGGGCTGGGGTGCCCGGGGTACCGCGGCGTGCGTGCCTTGCTGGGGCTCAGTCCTGCGGGCCTCCTTGCCCTGACCCCCCGGGAGGCAGCTCCTGCCCCAGGACTCCCCCTCCATGCATGGCCCTCAGTGGGCACCGGCGCTGGGGACCCCGTTCTGTTCAGTCTCAAGAGGGCTCTGGGGGGTGTGGCCTGATGCACGACCTGGCCTCTGGCCACTGACCGGAGCCTTGGCCACCTTCAAAGGGGACAGGTGTGGCGGCCACACGGCTGCTGGCCTCACGCTTGCCCCGCAGAGGAGGGTGCGAGGCCCCCACAGAGGCCCTCGGCAGGCAGGCAGCCCGGCTTCCTCTGAAGGTGCGGCCGTGGGGCCTCCTCTGCCCCCGGCTGCTGGGCGCCCTCCCCCTCTGGAGCCCCAGCCAGCAGGCAGATCCTCAGGGCCCTTTGGGCTGGACTTCCTGGGCGGCCGTGGACTTCCCGAGGTGGGGGGTGTGTGTGTGTGTGTGGCCACCGGAACCCAACATTCAGGAGGCACCAAGCAGGGAACCCTGGGGTGCTCCAGGCGGGGTCACCAGGAGGGGCTTTCGGAGGGAGGTGGGCACGGGAGGAGCCTGTGGGTCCTCTGAAGCCGGGGCCCGCCTGGGCGCGGGGGACCGCTGCGCGGACTCGCCCAAAGCACGCGGGGACCCCGGCTCCTCTCCCAGGTCCCTGCCGTCTGGGCTCCCCCCGCTGCGCCCGACGCCTCCCAGAGCCCTGCACGCGGTCGGAGTCCCGGCTCCCCGGTGCCTGCGGGTGACGAGGGTGTTTGCTTACTCCGTGTTTGTTTTCATTGCGCTTGGATTGAATCTAGTTCATGACGCAGGCAGGTCTGGCAGGCTGGCCCACTGCAGGGAGGAGACTGAGGCGGAGGGGCGGCCTTCACCTCTGACCCGCGCCAGGCGACCGGCCCTCGCGGCCCTGTGCTGCAGGCACGGTCCCGGGGCCTCTGTGGCAGGCTGTTCTCCTGGGGGAGCCCGGCAGGGGCCCTCCAGGGACAGCTGGGGGCCCGGGCGCTGGAAGTCGCGCCTCCCTGAGGGAAGGTCAGGCCCTGGGTCGCACTCGTGGGTGAGGCAGGAGCGGCTGCCAGGCTCTGAGGAGAGACAGGGAGCGGTGGGAGCCCCGTCCTGACCTGTGCTGAGACCTGGGCCCCAGGACAGACCCCGTCCGTGCCCGCAGAGCCCCCTCCCACCACCCCGAATAGTCCAGCTCGGACTGACCACTGCTCCGGCGGATGCGGGTTGCTCTCCCCATTTTATAGGTGAGGAAGCCAGGGTAAGAGCAAAGGCCATGCCGTCCACTCACAGGGTCCATGGGTCCTGGACAGGCCACTGGCATGGCATTGCTGTGTGCAATGAGGAGCCAGAGCTGCTCTGTGGCTGAGCAGGGTCGTGCCCTGCTGCCCCCAGGAGGGGCGGAAAGGCGTGGGAGCTGGCCCAGTCCTGGGGCTGGCATGGCACACGGGTCCAGCAGGTGGCTGTGGCCAAGGCCACTGAGCCATGAGGACTCGATGGGGACCGCGCTGAGCTATCTCCAAGCCCCAGTTCCCAGGAGGGGGCCCAGCAAGGCTACGTTCCCAACGAACTGTGGTGTAGATCACCAGGGAGTGGACACGAGCTTGGGTTTCAGGTCAGGCATGCTCAAGGGCATGGGCGGAGGAGACCGCTGAAAAGAACAAGGCACAGAGGGGAGGAAGCTTCGAGAACTGTCTTTCCTGGATGACCTCCTGGTGGGATGT